TAACAGAGGAGAAAAGCTGGGTCACCTTAGGTTTGAAATGACATTTTAAATACGAGACCAAAAGCATCATCAATGATAGAAAAAAACGGATAAGCTGAACTTCATTAAAAGACAGGAGAATGAAAAGACAATCCACGGAGTAGGAGGAAATCTTGGAAAACATATCTGATAAACAACTGTTACCCAAAATACACAAAGAACTCGTAAAACTCAACAATTAGGAAACCCAATTAAAAAATGGGCAAAGATCTTAAAAACTCAGCAAAGAAATATACATGGCAGATAAGCCTATGAAAAGATGCTCAAGATTATAACATGCATCATTAAGGAACTGGACGTTAAAACAACAGTGAGGTACCACTACACACCTATTGGAATGGCTGAAATGCAAGCCCTGACGACACCAAATACTGGTGCGGATGTGAAGCAGCAGGAACTCGCGGTCATTGCTGGTGGGAATGCAAAAGCCACTGGGAAGACAGTTTGGCATTTTCCTACAGAACTAGCCATACCATATCATGCAACAATCACACTCCTTGGTATTTACCCAAATGAGTTGAAAACTATGTCCACACAAAAATCTGCACACGAATGTTTACAGCAGCTTTATTCATAATTGCCAAAGCTTGGAAGCAAGCAACCAAGATGTCCTTCAGTAGATGAATAAACAAACTGTGGTCCATCCAGACAATGGAATATTAACCAGCAATGAAAGAAATGAACTCTCAAGCCATGAAAAGACATGAAGAAATCCTAAATGCATGTTACCAAGTGAAAGTTGCCACTATGAAAGGATATATACAATGTGTGACTCCAATTATATGACATTCTGGAAAAGGCAAAACTATGAAGACAGTGAAAGATGAGTGGTTGCCAGGGGTCCAGGGAGAGGGAAGGAGGAATAGGTGGAGCACAGGGGACTTTTTCTGGGGCAGTGAAAGCATTCTAGGTTATGGTGGATACACGTCATTATGCATTTGTCAAAATGTACAACACGAAGAACAAACCCTACTGCAAACTGTGGATTTTAGTTAATGATGCATCAACACGGGCTCATCCACTGGAACAAATACACACGCTAATGCAAGAAGCTAATAAACTAGGAGGAGGGGGTGAGGTTTATAAGGGAATTCTCTACTCTCTGCTGTTTTTGTGTAAACCTAAAACTGCTCTAAAAAAATAGTTTACTCATTTAAAAAAATTGCTGAAAGAAGTTCTCCAAACAGGACACAGCAGCAGGGGAAACTTGGAACATCAGGAATGAAGGCGGCACAGAATGGGCACACAGTTGGTAAACATACTAGACCGGCTTCAGGTGTGTGAAATTGTGTTAGTTGGCTGAAAGCAAAAGCACGTTGTCTGATACGGTTCTCGATGCATGTAAAGGAGCTATTTAGGAAAACTGAGTTATAAAGCAGAGGGAAAAGGCACCTGGATGGAGGTGAGTATCTCATACACATTCTACTCGAAGTGCACAACGCTGACACTCATTGGCTGTCATCAGTTACACACGTAAACTGTAACCCACAGAGCCACAAGACCCCAAAACTACGCAGAAATACCCTGAAAAATACAGTAGACAAGCTAACAGGGAATACTAAAACCTTTTCAGGTAACCCACAGGAAGGCAGGAAAAGGGAAACAAGGAATGAAAAACAAAGGGAATAAAGAAACGAAAACGGCAGACTGAAGTCCTAAAAGATCCAGGAATATGTAAAATGTACGTGGCCTAAATATATTAATCAAAAGACAGATACTGATGGAGTAGATTTGAAAAGTGACCTTCAGATACACTGTCAACTTGAGGCACATGTCAAATATATAAATAAATTTAGACTAAATGAACGGAAGAGATCTATCAAGCAAATACCAATCAAAAGAAAGCTGGAAGGGCTTCGCAATATCAGATAAAATGGATGTCAGAGCAAAGAAAACTACCAGGAGCTAAAACTATCTGAAAACACAAGGGTCAATCTGTGAAGACCTAACAACCCTCAATGTGTGTGCACCAAATAATAGAGCAAAAACTACATGAGGCACAAACTAAAAGAACTGAAAGGAAAAAAGAGCCAAATATGCACAATACAATGGTAAAAGTAGAGAAGAAAATGCCATCCAGGGATGGGACTAGCTGGTGTTTGCAGAACACTCCACCCAGCAATGGAAGGTTATACATTCTTTTCATGGAGGTATGAACATTCACCAAGATAGATCATTTTCTGGGTTATAAACTGACAAATTTAAAAGAAGTGAAATCATACAAAGTTTGTTTTCTGACCAACATAATGGAATCAAACTAGAAATTAACAACAGAAAAACAGGAAAATCTCCAAACACTTAGAAATTATACAGCACACTCCTAAACCATCCATAGACCCAGGAGGCACACAGGTGAAAGGAGTAAAAATACGCATTGACTGAATGACATGAAAACACAGCATCAAAATAGGCAGGATGCAGCGAAAGCTGTGCTCAGAGAGGAACTTAGAGCACCAGAAGTGTCATGTTAGACAAGAAGTCTAAGCTTCCACCTCAAGACACTAGAGATAAAGGACAAAGGAAACCTAAAGCAGTAGACGGAAGGAATTAAGGACAAGTATAGAAATCAGTGGAGGCCGGCCCTGTGGCCTAGTGGTTAAGTCTGCATGCTCTGCTTTGGTGGCCCAGGGTTTCGCCGGTTTGGATCCTGGGCGCGGACATGGCACCTCTCATCAGGCCATGCCGAGGAAGCGTCCTACACAACACAAGCAGAAGGATCTACAACTAGAATATACAACTATGTATTGAGGGTCTTTGGGGAGAAGAAAAAAAAAGACTGGCAACAGAGGTTAGCTCAGCTGCCAATCTTTAAAAAAAAAAAAAAAAATCAATGAAAGTGAAAATACAGAAGATATCAAACAAATAGCTAGTGCTTTTGAACAGATGAACACAACTGATACCTGTTTTAGCAAGACTGACAAAAAAAGAGAGGCGACTACCAGTGTCAAGAATGAAACGGGAATCATTACAGCTTCCTCAGACATTAAAAGGATAGGGGGACAGTCAAACAACTTGACAGGCTGAAATCAACAGCTTAGATAAAATGGGCCAATGCACTGAAAACCACAAACCACCAAAACTCTGAATAGTCCTGTAACTACTAAAAAGTTCTGAAAAAGAAGTATGGTTTCACTGGAGAAATCTCCCAAACATTTAAAGAGTTAACACCAATTCTGCACAATCTCTTCCAGAAACTAGAAGAGGAACTCAACACTTCCCAGCTTTTTTATGAGGCCAGCACTACTTCACAAAAAGAAAACTGGAAACTGGTAACCTTCATGAACACGGAGGCAAAACCTTAAAATATTCAATGCAGCAATATGTAAAATCATATTCAGCAACACATAAAAAGAATCACAGACTGCAGCCAAAGGGGGTTTATTCCAGGAATGCAAGACCAGTTCAAGATCTGAAAACCAATCAATGTAATCCACCATCCTAACAGCTGGAAGAAGAAAAGTACCGACAGGGTCATACCAACCGATGTGAAAGAATATCTGGAAAAAGTCAAAATACTTGGGAAAACTCTCAGTAAACTACAGTTTGATCACCTCAGACATTCTGCTGACCTTCAGTTGTTGAAAAAACATGATTTTATACCATTTTAAGTTTTATTACTATGAATGTCTATTTGTCAAGTTAGAACATGCCTTATGCAAGTTTGTTAAATCGATGTAAAATGTTAAAATATTTAGATCTCTGGTATTCCAGGTCACACAAAAACATTTAATCATCTTTGACTTAAAATCAAAAATTGGCTTCCAGGAACAATTAAAAATAATCAAATAATTTAACAAGAGAAATAGCTGGTAAGATGGGGTGAATGGAACTATGGCAAGAATTAAGCACTGAAATACTTAAAGGCCTCCAGCGGGAAGGCCTAAAACAGAGAAATCAGGGAATCACTCTGTTTCATTAAATGGAAGCTTTGCTCAAGTGCATTTATTCCCCACCAAGTTGCCTTCATTGTGTCAGGGTAACAGAATCTACTCTGCAAGGACTCAGAAACGCATGACTGTCTTGAAAAAAATTACTTGAAAATTCATACTAGACCATTATGACATTAATCAAAATTAAGAAGCAGAAAGAGGACCACAGTTGAGAAGTCATCTGCACTGCCTGCCCATCAGCCATCTCCCTGAGCCCCCATGCCTTCTCCCACACCAAGAGATGTCTCACGCCCTGTTTCTCACCTTGCGTACAACCTTTTGACACCATGACTGCCTAAATCTGATGCTATTCCCTTCTGGCACTAGGTGACAGCGGCTTAACTCTTTACACTGTACCAGCCAACTCGAGTGGCACATTTTGCCATTTCCAGTGTCAGTCACTTAATTTTCTGCATCTCTGAAATCCACAAAGTGTAGTCAGATACATCCCTAAAGCCCCAATCACTTAATATATGAAGTGGAAAATCAAAACACAGTAATATGTAAGACGACTAAAGATGCACATGAAATATGCTCACCACTAATCATTTATAGAAACACAAATTAAAACCACAATGAGCTATGACTCCACATCCACTAAAGGCTCCAATTTAAACAAAACGAACAACTGAAAATACCAAGTACTGGCAAGGACTGGAAACACTTGGAACCGTCATGTGTCGCTGGTGGATGTGTAAAATGGCGTACATACTGCAGAAACCAGTTTGGCAGTTTCTTATAAACATACCTACCAAATGACACAATCCTAATCATAGGTGTTTACCCAAGATAAAAATGAAAACAGACTGTCTAGACACAAGACTTGTATATACATGTTCAGAGCAGCTTTATTTATAATAGCAAAAACCTAAGAATCACTCAAAGGCCCATCGACTGGTGAATGAATGAGCGAGCCCTGGGATGACATAAGATACGGTGCCACTGAACAATGAAAAAGGAACTGCTGATGCCTGCAACAACATAATGTCCCAGAAGCATCACGGTAAGTGAAAGAAGCCGGACACGAAAGACTGCAGATGATTTCATTTATTTGAAATTCTAGAAAAAGCAAAACTGGGGACCAAAAGCAGATCAGTGGCTGCCAATGGGTAGATATGGGGCAGGGGACTGACTGCAAAGGGAAGTAGGGAAATTTTTAGGTGATAGGAATGTTCTCTATCAAGACTGTGTCGGTAGCGATTACACAACTTAATACATTTGACAAGATTCACAGAATTATACACTTAAATTGGCTAACTTTATTATATATAAAATAATACATTAAAGCTTAAAAAGCAGGAAAATAGATCAAAATGTAGCAATGGTAACATGCTTTTTTTTCTATGTTAAACTGAAACCATGTGATCACAATTACTTAAAAATAAACATACACAAACAGAGCTAAGTGAGTGGAAGGAAAATTACCAGACTTTGACTAGGGGCACTAAAATAAACTTCTAAAGCTTATCTATAGTTCAGTAAGAAGAGAAAATCACTTGTAATAATTGGCGTAAATCTATCTAGAGCTTTTGCCCAAGTTAATGAATTAGGAAGGTGTCACATGGGCTCACTTTTCAAAGACATTTTTTAAAGATTATTCAGTCGTTTATTTCTTTTTTTCTTCCATAAGTTTCTGTTTCAGGGTTATTTTTTCAAGAGTTATCCTTGGTATCACTCAGAATGGTGAGGCAAATAGACTTTCCTCTTAATGTCTTATTCTTAAAAAGCACCAAATAATAGTTCTCAGACCTCGAATACATCTTCCACTCAGTAATACCTGTTTTTGTAAACAAAAGAAACAGAATGTAAATAGCACCTTCGATTAAACTCTGCATCCTGATCAGCTGTAGAGAATCATGAATCGGGGGTGACAATAACTGCTTCAATGTCCGAATAGCTCATCTATTCAACAATTCTTTAGGAATACTTCACCCATTTATATGGAGATACAACATCGGTTTATGAACATGGAAAAAAATAACTGGTAATCTGTCTTTACAGATTTTTTAAATGCGTTCTGCCAGGACCATTTTGGCCAAGTAAGTGAATTGAAACTGGATAGAAAAAGCAAGAAAAAAAGCACAAACGTAAACAGTCTTAGAAAACAAATAGGACCTCATGGTCCCCTTGAGTTCAGGGGCAAAACTAACAGGCTGCAATCTTGTGACGTGACTCAAGCTGACAATGCAGGGAGAAACAGATCACTTGGGAGACCAGCCAAGAGAACGGGCTTGGGACACAGCACCTTCAAAACAAGTTGGACACACATGCCCGGAAATGGGAGCAGAGCCCAAGCCAGGCTGTCAGCAGATGCTCACAGCACTGTCAGCAAGTCCCATGCACTGTCCAATACTCTTTTCCTTTGGCTTCTTCACACTTTATTGGAAGGCAAGATGAAAGCTGTAGTTTTTAGGGTGCAGTGGGATGTTCTTCCTGTGTTCTTTCTGCAGGCTGCCCAGTACTAACCATTTTTACATCTTTTGTCAGACATATGGGTCAAACCGTTAGATCACAAAATACACGGTAGAGAGAGGCCTTGGCAGACAACACCAACGATGGACAGTATGTTTCAGGTAACATGCTTTCTGCCAACTCATACAAAAGACGCTACTAACGATGGCTAGAACAACAAAGGCCTAACTGAATCAAAACCGGACCAGGAGTAGAGCGGTCCCAGAGCTGCACAATTCAGCATCTCACTGGCACGATCACGGACTGGGTTCCACGTTCCCAGGAGGCAGTCCTGTGATCCTAAGACAGTGGCAACAGCTCTGTGGGCCAGATTCAGACACGACCATGTCCAAAGAAGGGGCGCAGGAGTTGCTCTTCTCAGCTTCTGCCAGCGAGGGAACCTTCCTCCGACATCCCACTGGAGATCTCAGCTGCCAATAGCCAGCACAGGCTCACACACTCACGCCTCATCAGCCGCTAATAAAGGGGGTAAGATCATGCACAACTGGCTTAGAACAATCCGGTTCACTCTTGGGGAAAAGCGTCCAACATCCCTGGGCACAAGGCTGTGCAAGCAAGATGGAAGGCGCCAAAGGGCTGCTGGACAGCAACCAGGAGGATTCGCCACAACCTGATGGGGCTGAAAATACACTGTGTTACAGGAGCTTCCACTGGCTGAGGGTGAACCAGCACTCAGAGCATGGAAAAAAGTGTAATTTAGTGGACTGTTATCAAAAAAACTATTTCAGGGACACACAATAACTAAGATATAGTGAGCACACTCTACATCCCAGACACTTGTCTATGCACTTAGATATATTAACATATTTAATCTATATAACTGTGACCTGTATTTTACAGGTAAGGATAAAAGAACAGAGAGAGGTCGAGTATCTTGCCCAAAACTTGTAGGAGGTGACAGAGCTGAAATCTGGGGAGTCAGCCTCTAGACCCATGCTCTCAATCGCTACATTATGCTGCATATGGTAATGTAAAAGGGGTATGAATATATTCTAAAAAGATAAAAAACAGCAAATAAACCAAGGGATAGCTGGAGAGGTAGAAACCAAGTGAAAAAGTTAGCTGAGATTTACACGCTGTACATTTTATTAAATATTGGACTTTATTACAACAAATTAATTTACTTCTGATAGTAGTTTCATTAAAAAAATGTGGCTGTGTTGAAATTCTTACTTGACACTGCTTTTTGGTTACCATTCTATTTTTACTCAGTCATTATGGGCAGAAAAATTAATTTTTCATAATAGAACAAAATTTCTCAAGTGGTACAACACTCACTATATATAAGAGGAATATTCCCAGTGTGGACACAACCACAGCAGAATATATGAGCCAAGAACATACTGTTTTTATGGTATATTTATAATAGCTACAAATAACATTGTTAACTCATGCACATTAAGTCTTTACTACCTGCTGAAGGTTTCTACTTTACACATGAAAATTACTCATGTCCCAGTGTTTGGCATCCAGCCGAAATTACACTAGGATGGAAAACGGCTGTCACACAGGCTCTAGAGACCACCACAGAACACCGTCAGCTGTAGTACCCATCCTGGAGTCGTGGCGGGAAGCTCCTGGGGGCTGCTTCCTCCTGTGTTTTTATCAAGTCTGTGATGGCAGAGAGGACGGCACAGTCCCTGGATTCAGTGTCCTTCCAGTCGACAGGACGGGGACTTTCGATCTTCTCTTGCAGAAGGATGTCTAGCTCCTTTCTTAATTCCTGAGGTTGGAGAAATTATGTATGTTCAACAGGGGCAGATGCCATCCAACAATGTAACAAATAAAAGTGACTTTAGCTGGGACAAGGAATTTCATAAGCTATTATACAAAAGACTGAAATATTTAATGAGCAACTCACTAAAGTGTGGTTATTAGTAGCCAACTGAAGTATAGTAAAGTTAAAAAATTCCATCACACCTAGCCATTCAGAATGGTTGGTCTGTAACTACCTCAAAAAACAATCTGGAAAAACTATGAATCGATTTCTCAACACTATTTGCTCTGTTGAAATAGAGCAAGAAATGTTTACTGTAACATATGTAACATTTGAAACGAAACCACAAGGCCACACACTAACTTGTAGGTAGACTCAAAGGCAATCATGACCATTAGTCACCTTAACGAGATAGGCAATTCTGGCTGGAGACTGAAAGACAATCCACTCATCCACAGCAATGGTTTCCTGATCCTTATCCTTCTGGATGGAAATATCTCCTCCAAAGAACAAGAGACAGTATGGAGAAACTTCCGTGCAGTCATACAAGTATATCTACACAAGGAGAATTAAAGCCCATTAATACCATGAGGAGGCTGAAAGGACGACGGCCACACAATTCAATACCATCACCAGCATCCATCTGTTAGTGCTTTCCTTCTAAAAGAGGTGTTATCCTGCTCGTGTAACTACAGAGATTAACTCTGATGAAATACCATTTAAAATGAGCCATTCTTCATTAACTCAGAGAACACAGGAGTTTTATATTTTTGTTTCAATTCAAACAATAGCATGATTCTTCAAACAAAATATTTTCTGACAAAACCAAAACAATAAGGTAGCTAAAATTATTTTTATCTATATTTAAACAGAATCCCACTTAGTATTCTGACCAATACTTTTAAGGTATAGAGACATGTCAACAAAATTCTTTGTATAAACAACTATATACCATAAAATGCCAGTATTGCTTGAAAGCAGACTCTGAAGGAAAATTACGCAAATCAAGTAACTGTCCCAATTAATTAAAATGCAACAATCCATGATGACAGACCTGCACATAAAAAGTAGAGGTGATTTGCTTTCAGGAAGTTATAACACACGTCAGGAAAAAAACCTTTATTTAAAGAGAAGTTTTATTTATTTTATGTTTAATTGTGAAATTTTATTTATAATTTTATCTGCCATCATGGAGAGCACACACTTAGAAAACCACAGCCAGACGGACACTCGGACGCACGCTGGTTTTCGACGCCCACTTACGCTGCTCGTGCGCATCTTCAGGTGGTAGATGAGCCAGTTGTAGTGAAACTCGGTTTGCTCCACGTTGACCGACTTCGGATGAAGAGCAACTAGTCCATCGGTTTTCGTGTAAACCTTCACCCTTTAAAAAGTTAAAATGTCATTTGTTAAAAATAATTCTGGGATATTCTAAACAATTCCAGAATCTAAAAACTCCACAGATGAGTTCAGTTTATTTTCGCAATATAAATTTACAAATTTCATTTGAGGAAAGAGGAGAATTTTATTTTAATACAACATGGAAAAGTATCAGCTAAATATGAATATTCTCTAAATCATACAACAGATCTTCTTCTTGCAGGTATAATTACTCAACATATTAGAAAGTTGACAGAATATTCCTTAATTGTGTTAATACATACTATACTCCTAAAGGATAAAGAGTGAAATAAGTATGGTATAATTCTAAGTGATTCGAACGAAGAGAATAGCCTATTTTACTGTCAGTCAAGATACTGATAAATAGCCCTCAATTTACAGAATAATTTTGTGAAATGATCAATTAAAAAATTTCACAGCTTATGCACCCAGAAAAATATAAAATAAAAAATTAGGAATTTTGTTTAAAAGAGACTTTAGCTACAAGTGATTTTAAAAAAACCTATTCTAAAATATGTTTTAAATAGTTCGTGTTCACTCAAATCCTCCAATTTCAAAACAGGAATACTTGGAAAAAATGTACTTTGACACAGCTCAGTTCAGTCTCTGCCTTCCTAGGATTTTTTCTCTGATAGTCATAAAAATTTTGCCTCAATCTGTAGTCTTTAATTAAAATTATTCAACAGGGAGATGTTTGACAGTTTATTTTTAAGCAGTCAATGGTAAATACCTGTATTAGACAACAGCATAAAAGCTGCTAATCCATTAACCCTTCCTATTTGTTTTTAAGAGCATTTTCTCATGGTTCTAGAAATTCATAATACTTCTACCAAAATCATAAATCAGAGTCATGAGTCATTATTCAGAATAAAATCAGAAATTATTTTTCTGCACCACACAGTCAATTTGACCAGGGCCATCCTGCAACCGTACATCACAAGAGCAGTAGGTGCTGGCAACCCTTTTCTGCACAGGACCAGAGAGAAGACAGTTTAGGCTTTGTGGGTGCAATGGTCTCTGTCACAACTACTCAGCTCTGCTGGCCTGGCAGGAAAGCACACACAGACAACACGTAAACGAACAGGTGTGGCTGTGTTTCAATAAAAATTCACCCAGACAAGCTTTTCACCAGTATGCCGAAATTTGCTGTCCTCTGGTCTACACCAGAACAAAGCACCAATCCAAAGAGAAGTATATTTTTTCATAAAGCCTCCTAGGATGGCAGAGGGATATATAAAATGGTTTGTCTTTCAAAGATCTCTCTGTGAAGTGTCCTGTGAAATTAGGGACAGATATGAAGAACTGGACAAAGTACTGATGTCAAAAAAGTACCCTGGGTCACTTAAAATGTGGATAATCCAGCCACCACGAGTAACATTCACGTTACCCATATACCTGAGAATAGGGCTCCCCGACCCCAGCGTCTCTGACATGTTGACGTCTGTCTTGTGGGCGCTGTCCTGTGCGGGGTAGAAGTGTAATAGCATCCCTGGCCTCTATCTGTAGATCCTGGTAGTACCCCTCAGTTTATAGCCACCACAAATGTCCCGGATGGTGCCAAGGTTGCCCCAGCTGAGAACCACCACCCTAGAACACTGTCTGTACTTGTTTGAGGTCTATATTTTTTCATGTTTATAATCATGGAGTATCCAACTTTTCATTTAACATGAGTTCAAATACTTTGTTACTTCATAGACTGTTTTTACACCCTACTAACAGAAATGCCATATAATACGATACTATAAAACCATAATTTCCCCATTGCTACTAGAATTCTATGTTGTTTACAATACAGCTTTTAAAAAACCTTAGGAATTACTTCCTAGGACACAGTCCTCAAATTAAAATAGTCATTTATGAATGCACTGGACCAGTGCCTATTTTAATGCCTGTTGATAGGTCATTCTAATCTAGAGTGCCTTCCAAAAGGGTGACACCAATTCACACACCACCAGCCACTCGTGACTCCCAGTTTGTTTCCTCACCAGAACGAACTCATTTAGTAGGCAAAAACATGCCTTGTTGTTGTCTCCAATTACCACCGAGGCTGACTCTATCTGTATATATATTTAAAAGTTATACTTTATTTCTCCAAACAGTGAAATCACCACAATTTTTATTCAAAGAACTAAATTACAAAATTACCTGTTTTATAAGAATAGAGAAAAAAAGTCCTGAAACAAAATCTACTCTAAGCAATGTCATCAGGCACTGGTTTTTAAGAGCGGCTCACTTTTCCCACATTGACGCTGGTATTCTATCTTACTGATGTTCTCTGTGAACAGACTCGAGGTGTGCACTGTGAGGAAAGCGCTGCCTGTGTTAATACAGTCTGCCTTCCCTTAAAGGACCAAAAGTAAACAACAAGAATATGGCTCAAATATGAAGAAGAACAAATGTACAATATAAGCCCTGATGAATTAGAGGATTTCAAAAGTTTAAGGAGAGAATAACAAAGAATTCATAAAAATCTTCAATGCTTACATTTTTCTTTTTTTACCCAAATTTAGTCGGAGTTTAGCAACTTTGGGATATAAACCAGCACAGATGACAGCCTTAATTATCTTCTCATTATCTATTGGGAGTGGGAAGGTAGAGAAAAAAGTAAAATACTGATACAACAGACAGCAGCGAGAAGTTACTTACAGTGTGTCTCTGCTTTACCTGAATTGACATTAGACTCGGGATCTTTGGGATCTCGACTGCTCACAAAGCCAGCTCCCAGCAGGTGCTCAGCAAACTGCCCCTTCATGTTATGCAGCATCTAGGGAGCAATGGCAACACACAGAACTAGAACACCTTTTACACAGATTTACAGGGTTATAAGGCAAGTACTCAAATAAATTTAGCTATAAGCTTCCCCTACTATATAAAAAACTTTTGCAAAAATGTGATGTTTTAGCACAGGGGATGGTAAACTATAAACTGTGTAGAAGCCCGTTTCCGTCAGTGGCGTTTTATTAGCATGCAGCCACGGCCGTTCCTCCAGAGATGGCCCAGGGGTGCTCTGCACCACCAAGGCAGAGGGAGGGAGTGCTCAACACAGACCACAGGGCCCGCAGCCGCACTCACTCACTGCCTGCTCTCTCACAGGAAGGGTCTGCCTACTGTGGGGAATAACACTGATGTTCAGGGATCTGTCCATTTTGCAAGAAGACTAATATAATTTTGAAAATTGCTCTTCACCCCGTATTTTGAAAAAAATACAGAAAAGCATAAAGAAAATAAACAACTTCCATATTTCTCCTACTGAGAATTAACCACAGTTAACTGGCACAAAAGCTTAGGACCTGTTTTTTGTTGTATTTTTAAGAAAAATCACTATTTGGGTGAAAATGATGTATGGTTCATTCAAGTAATAAAGTACAAATGAAGAAGCTTCCCTAACCGCAATACTGTCAGAAGCATCATTGCATGTGCACTGACAGAAGAATCAGATAGCAGTGCTATCCTAACTATGGGGTAACAGCATAGAAGCTGTTTTTATTAAAGTGTTCAAATTAATTTTAGTTCAATTTAAAGAAGTTAAACAAATGAAACTTAACTAGACGACTCTTACATTTCATAATCACAAGAGATATTTAATAAAGGATCCTTGTAAGCTTAAAGGAAGAGATGATGGAACATAAAGCCATCTGTACGTAAGTATATATCCCTTTTATCAACTGGGTCACTTAAGCGTCCCCACCTAATTTATCTTATAACTCACTCACTAGGCCGCCTCCTGGTTATATTACCATTATTGTTACTGTTCACGATAATAACCTTTACATTCTATTCTGAATCCTTAATTCCCAAAACTGTTTCATTGTATATTTGGACAATTTCAATGTACACCATTTAGTACGCACTCTCCATCCCTGAATTCTTTTTGATTCATCTCTTAAGGAGCATTTCACTGTCAGTGAATTTTTCAAGAACAGCTCATGGGTGCAGTAGTTCAAGTGCTTTCTTGAACACCTGTCCTTTGTCTTTACATTTGAATTAATATCTTGACTGGATATGATATTCTCAAATAACACTGAGATTCAGCCATCCTTTCATAATTATGGTTCATTTCCTTTTTTTTTGTTTCAGGGAAATGTTCTTACACATCACTGAATACATTCAATCGCACTTTCACTATCCACGTAGAGGCACCGACTACCTTCAGGATAGAGGAGTCCTCTCTTCCTGTCTACAAGTTTTTTCTGTTTTAATTTTCTTTTGTGGCTACGTCTATAAACTGTGATTATCTCAAGCCCTTCTCTAAGGGCAGGAGTTTGCTTTAAGGGCTGTCCATTTTATTCCTTGTGATTCTTTTGGTCTTCCACTTGTCTTCCTAGATCTTCAGTCTCTTCATTCATCTGACAGGTGTACAGTCATGCGCTGTGTAACGACGTTCGGTCAGTGACAGACTGCATACACGATAGAGGTCCCATAATATTAGCACATACAGCCTCAGTGTGGAGTAGGCCATACCACCTAGGTTTGTGTAGGCACAAATGATGTTCTAGGATGTTCGCACAATGATGAAATCGCCCAACAACGCACTGCTCAGAACGTATCCCCACTGTTAAGCATGACATGCCTATGCTTTCTCATCTTTGTCTTGGTGAATTCGTATTCTTACACTGTTCCAAACTATACAGAGCTGTGAGGTCTGCTGAGATGTGCTGCATTCCATTCTTTGCTTTTCATTCCTTTGGCTGTGCTATCTTTCAGAGTTGTCATGACTCTTCTTTTTGTTAATGTTTGGGAACTTTTGATGAAATATGCTAGATCCTTGATTCTTTCACCCCCTTGTAGATTTGTTAAATGTCCAGTACCAGGGTTCAAGTCACACAGAGGGTACATGTAATGAGGAAAGCAAGGATATGACTACTCCCAGTGGCTTGAGATCACTTCTCCCAATCAGTGTAGGGTCTCAAGTCTGATGTGCATCTGCCCTATTTATTATTTACTTCCCTCTGTTTCACAAATCCCTCCAGGCCAGTGTTTTCTCACTGCACTGAATCAGGTAAAGATACCTACCCGAAGGTTAAAGCAAAGATACTCACCCTATTTGATATTTGAAAATAGATTTTAGGAGTGTTAGGGAAAATTTTCAGGTTGAGTCACCAAAATGGCAGCTAGAGGGTGGGGAGAGGAATGGTCCCCAAGACCCACTGTGCTTTCCTGGGGATTCTGGACCCTCGCTTCTTTGCTTAGCCATTAGTTTTTGTTTATTATATTATACATCTTTTCCTGTTCTGTTACAGTGGACTCAACAAAGATTCCTTCTATTATCCTGTATAACGATTCTCCTTCGTAAGACAAATGCACACAATTAACTTTTTGCTACAGATCTAACTGTACAGAAAAGATAACCTATATTCTCTAATCCAACACAAATGAGAATGATTTCAAAACATTCGCCATTACCTGCAGAGTGTTTGAAGACAGAAAATACTCCCAGCAATAGTCTTTTTCATGTCTGAAACCACGTCGTCTAGCTTCCTCCCAGCCCTACGGGCAAAGAAATGAAGAAAACTATCAAGATTGTTCCCCAAAGATTGCTTACTACTTTATCTTTATTTTGGTACTAATTTAACCTTCTACTAATATTTCATTTTCTTTGTAAAAAATTCAAAGAATTTTGAAATTTACAAACTAAAAACACACAAAGTCCCCATGATCCTAATCAGAGATTACCACTACTGAATTTCCAGAGCTTTATACAAATAAGTACCAGTTCTATAGTAATATATTGTGTATTTCACATAAAATGGCATCATCCTTTACATATTAATCAAAAAGAGTACTCTGTGGAGCCAGCCCTGATGGCCTAGTGGTTGCTCCACTTTGGCAGCCCAGGTTCGGTTCCTTGGCGTGGAACACACCACCCGTCTGTCAGCAGCTATGCTGTGGCGGCGGCTCCCACAGAAGAACTAGAAGGACTTACAACTAGAATAAACAACTACATACTGGGGCTTTGGGGAGGAGGGAAAAAAAGCCAGGAAGATTGGCGACAGATGTTAGCCCAGTGAATCTTTCCCAGAAAAGAAAAAAAAGTACTCTGAGGAACAAATTGCAGTGCCACATATTTCCAACTTTACAGATTTTTTTTTTAGCTAAAGAAGGGGAAATGGAGAAAAAGAATGAGCTCAAAGGGAAAAAACAGGTCAATTTCTCATAATATGTAGTACTAAACTGAGTCTAGAACTACAGTAAAAAAATGCTGTCTCTATAAACCAACTCATATTTAAATTTTGCAAGAATGTTCATCCTCAGATAAGCCTGGCTTTAGGAGCAGAAAACGTCTGTATTCTGAACAACATGCCTGGTTGTGACACTCCATGCAGATGTTAAAGCTGCAGACAGCAGCAGTTTATTAATCAACAAAGAGAGACCTTCTGTCATGAACGCCAGTAAGACAAAAGATATGAGTAACATCAAATAAAACTATAAAATAAATTGTTCACTTGTTCTGTTGTCCTCAAAATACATATAGACTTCTGCTCTTAAAGGGTAAATGTAATAGGTAGACATAAGGAGCAATTACAAAACTGAAAAATGGTGTACATGTTTTTCAAACGTTCACCTAATTTCAAACATTCTCACAGTAATTTACTCCTGATACCTATTATAATGCAGATTTTAAACAGTTAAATACGCTCCTATTCTGTTATCAGCTTTTCACTTGAATAAACTGTCACAATTCACAACTCAGAACAAGTTATTTTTTACCTCAAATGCATTCACAACAGTCAAGTGGTCACTTTTAGTATCCTTTGCCAATTCTTTTCTTCTTGCATCTGCGATCTTTTCTTTTCCCTTAAAAAACAAACAGGAAAGCAGGTTAAACTGCTCTGATGGTATATAATAGAGAATGGCATTCTGATAAAAAGCCAATGAAAAATGTGTCTAAGCAAACAACTACTGTGTCTCTAAAAAGGTCTGGCCTTTGTCTGTCACTTTCTTACCAATGGAATGACAAAGGGATCTTTGAAGCTGAGACTGGCAGCTATGGTGAGCACTGGGTCTAGGCAACAGAACAGAGCTCCAAACAGAATCATTTTTCCAATGTGTGGCTCAACTGGTAACCGTGCTAAATGGACTCCAAGAGGCGTCAATTCTTCTTGTTTATCCAAAGCGTTCTGTAAAATGAGGGTTTACATGTAAAACAGTGTAAAGTATCACATTTAATGCTATTTTAGCTTGCTTAAAAAAAAAAAGACAGGCCACTCCTTTCTTGTGTCCTAATGCCTTAACATTGCTCAGCTTTAGGCTTCTTCATCAAAACATAAGTTTTAAGGTCAGCAAAGGTTAGAAATTTATTTAAATAAAAACAAAACTAATCCACAACTTGCCTTTACTGTAAATATTAGGAGAAAAATGAGAGACATAACAATAGCAAGACTTCAATGAAATTAAAAAAAAAAAAAATCACCCAGTAAAGTACAAGCACTATGGGGAAAATAAAACAAAAACAGGAGGTACTGTTATCTATTTGGAATATACAATGCATAGCCCCTCAATTCCAGTAGCTTAGGAGGCATGCAAAACAACAGCAAGATATTAACAAACATATCTAGAACCGATCAAAATGGGGATGGCTTCAGCTCTGATGACCTAGGTAATTTGGTACAATCTCCCCACTGAGGACAGCTAAAGGAGCTGCTTCAAGACACTGAGGAGTTACAAAACAATTACAAGTCTAAGATTCAGGGAGGGACAGAAGCCCAAGGAGATGAGCCCAGCGTAGGGGCTTCTTTTCCTGGCAGAAGCAAGAAAATCCTCTCTGGAGGAAATTATCATCATCTCAAGCTTCAAATTTTTATCTACAAAGAACCCTGTAAGAGAATGTCTGGTACACAAATAAAATAAGTAGGCATACAAGAAGATTTGAACAAAAAAGTAAAGAAAAATATAACCTCTGGGTCTCATTAAACAAAGACTTCTACTAAATATTTATGGAGGACATAATCTGGATCTTACAAAAGCAACTCAGAGACTAGAACAAGAGAAAACATATCATACTCCCAGCTTGTTTTGGAGCCTAGTAGAATCTTGGTACCTACCTGACACGGACATTTGGAGAGAGGAAAACTAGTGAGTAATCTTACTCATGAGAAACCCAAAATAAAATAATGAAAAGTGAATCCCACCAAGTTAAGTCTGTTTCAGGAATGAAAGGTAGTTTAACATTAGAAAAAAACAATGTAATTCAATAAATTAAACATGAAAAATCATATAATCTCATTACAGGAAGAAAAGGTGTGTGATAAGGTAAATTATCCATGCATGATAAAAATCTCCTAGTAAACTAAATATAGAAACTCCCTTAATTTGATAGTTTCTACAAAAAAATCTCTAACAAACATGCTCAATGAATTGACACCTTTTGCTTTAAGAAGATGAACACCAGAATGCATACCAAACAGCTCAACATTGTACTACAGGTCCTAGATGATTGGAAAGGAATAAATAAAACTGTAATTATTTATAGATGGGTCTATGTATGCAGAAAAACATCTACATATAATTATTAGAATAAGTGGGTTTCACAGCATTGATGAATACAAGGTCAATATTCACAATTTACTTCTGTGTATCAGACTCACAAGAAAATGAAAAATTTAAAAGTTAGAACATAATCCAAAAAAAAAAATCACTCACCAAGAAATAAATCTTCTAAAAAGTTCTATAAAACCCCTATATCTAAAACCCTGAAACACCAAGAGAGATTCAATACGTAAATCAATGGGATGGATTGTGTTCTTGTTTGGTAAGACTCAACATGGTAACTAAGGCACCAGCTCGAGAGAGAAATACAGACCGGTGCAGTAAAAAAGAACCTATGAACAGACACCAATCCAGAGCCACCTGATCTATGACCAAGGCTGCAAAACAAAGAGGAAAGCACAAACTGCTCTGTAAGTGCTCACTCAACTGATCTACATATATGAAAACTTTGACTCCTCTCTCACCTTACACACACACACACACATATCAAATGCAGAAGGATTATACATCTAAGTGTGAAAAACAAAACGACAAAGTCAAAATAATATATTTTCATAACTCCAAGGTAGATAAAGACTTACTAAAGGACAAACACCATTAACAATAAAGAAAAAGACTGACACAGAAATACTTAAACATGTGCATCAAGAAACACGGAATACTGAAGAACGTAATGGCCTCATGTAACAGGCTCAAATTTAAAATAACCAAACGGTCTTCCAGTAATCACAGAGTAAAATATGGTAAAGAAATGAAAAGGAATCAAGTATAGCTAGAAGAAACAATGCAGATGAATCCCACAACGCTAAGTGAGAGAATCCAGAACCCAATTTGCTCTCCAACCTCCCCCACCTTTGTGAGTTCATGTAAAGTTCACAAAAGAGGCCAAATAAACTAAGCTCTTTATAGAGATGTACACTTGCCTGGTAAAACCACCAGGAAAAACAGCAGGAGATCACATCAAAGACGTGAGGGAGGTCACCTCTGGGACTGAGGGACAGAGCAGTGATGGGAGAGGGTAGGAGGTGGGCCTTTAGGATACTGGGAACATTCTCACTTCTTGACATGAGTAATGAGGACATATTTGTGAGAAATCATTAACCTGGACATTTTTGGTTTGCACATTTATCTTGTATGGGTATGCTGCATTTCACAATAAAAACATTTTTAAAAACATGGGTTTCAGACCTTACCTTGTTGGCAAGGATTTGATGGCCTTTCCACAATTTTGTTGCTTGCAAATTGCTAAGTAAAGACTGAATCTTAGGAGAGCAGTGTCAAGATAGCGGCGTAGGTGGACTCTGAACTCACTTCCTGCCAAGGACACAACCAATTTACAACTACTCTTGGAAAAACGCCCCCTGAGAGAGAACTGAAAACTGGATATAAAGAGCCCCCACAACGAGGGGCAGTGCTGACTCAGGTGGCAGAGGCCAGCCTGGCCGGGAGCAATCCTAAGGTACATAGCCCTCCCTGGAGGAGCAGGGGATCTGAGCAGGGAGCTTTGCCACAATAAGCAGTTTCAGGACTCGGTACAACTAAGACAAGTGTCATAATATCTGGCTCTGCTGGGTATTAACAACAATGGAGAATGCCCCCAGAAAAACTACTGGACATAAAGGAAAGAAAAGTCTGCTCTTAAAGGGCCCAGGCACAAATTCACCCATTTCAGAAGAAAACCTAAAATCACCAGAAAGGTGGACAGTCCTTTGGTGAAAAGAGACTCACTTAATAGGCTCTGGGTGAAACTTGGTGAGAGATGAGACCTCCCAGGGTAATGAGACATTGGTGGCAGCCATTACTGTGACCTAGTACAGGCGTGCTGGGACAGATGCTGGCAGACACCATGGGAGCTCTTCTCCTGGCCTGTTACTGCAGGGGTCTGCCCCACCCACTAGAACCCAGATTTGATCCAGCTCAGCCAGGGCAGGCGGCCCACCCTAGGGACTGGCCCCACCCAACAGCAGGTCCTTGGGCAACTTGTGGGACCACATAGGTGGAGTATGTGGGGCCTCTGCAGCAAAGTGAGTGGGTCCACCTCGGCAGGGCAGGGCATGTGCAAGGGCCAGAGCAGGCACAAGGGGTAGGCCTGTGTTGGTGGAGTGTGTGGGGCCTCTGCAGCAGAGTGAGTGGGTCTGCTTCAGTGTGTCGGGGCATGGGCACAGAGCAGGAAGGTGATGACAGGCTGCGTGGGCCTGCAGGCAGTGAGGCTTGTCAGATGCAGCAGACTTGTGCTTCTCAAATGGCCACATAAGGGACTGGCCCTACCTTCAAATGCCTGAAATAATTGTGTGCTGCCACGCCTAGGGCCAGCCCCACCCAGCTGCCCTCCTAGGCCTCCAACAATGGTGAACCCGAGCCTAGCAACCAGCCATGCTGGTGGCCTACTCATTTAACAGAAAAACTGCAGCAGGAATGTGCTGTTTAGACCTCGCAGCCAACCACGCTGAGGCTCCCCATGCCCAATAAAGTGACTGAAAGGACTGGAGACCACACAGGGGACACTCCTGGAACATTTGGAACTGGTGACGAGAGGGAAGCACATGGCTGGGCCTCATAAGGCATCTCTTACATAAGGCCACCTCTCCAAGATCAGCAGATATATCTGACCTACCTAATACATAGATATAAGCACAGAGAAAGAGGCAAAATAAGGAGACAAAGGAACACATTTCAAGTAAGGGAACAGGACAATTCTCAGAAAAACAACTAAACTAAGCGAGAAAATAATCTACCTGACAAAGACTACAAACTAACAGTCATAAGGACACTCAATGATCTTGGGAGAAGAGATGAATACAGTGAGAACTTCAACAAAGAACTGCAAAATGTGAAAAAGAACCAATCAGAACTGAAGGATACAATAGTGGAAATGAAAAATTCACTAGAGGGACTCAACGGCAGAGTAGATGATACAGAAGAATGGATCAGGAAATTGGATGAAAGACGACAGGAAATCACCCAAGCTCAACAGATAAAAGAAAAAAGAATTAAAAAGAGTGAGAACAGTCTAAGGGAGCACTGGGACAACATGAAGCACACTAATATTTGTATTATAGGTGCCCCAGAGGGACGAGAGACAAACGGGGAGAGAATCTATCTGAGGAAATAATACCTGAAAATGTCCCTCACCTAAGGAAGGAAAGAGACATCCAGGTACAGGAAGCGCACACAGAGCACGAAACAAGAAGAACCCACAGGCCCACACCAGAACACGTCACGATTAAAATGTCAAGAATTACAGATAAAGAGAGAATCCTAAAAGCTGAAAGAGAAAAAGGAAACCCCATAAGGCTATCAGCTGACTTCTCAGCTGAAATCTTACAGGCTATAAGGGAGTGGCACGATATATTCAAAGTGCTGAAAAACCTACAGCCACGAATACACTATCCAGCAAGGTTATCATTCAGAATGGAAGCAGAGATAAAGAGTTTCCCATACAAGAAAAAACTAAAGGAGTTTATCACCAAGAAACCAGCCCTACCAGAAACGCTAAAGGGACTTATTTAAGTGGAAAAGAAAAGACCACAAACAGGAATGAGAAAATTATCAAAAAAACAAAACAAAACCCAATAAAATCACTGGTAAAGGCATATATACAGTAAAGGTTGCACATCAACCACCGATAAAGCCACTATGAAGGTCAAAAGAAAAAGCACTAAAACGATCTGCTTCCATGATAAGAGGGTAACGGTTACACATGCACTAAAAGGAGGTTAGACATGGTATCAAAAACATCAAATGTAGGAGGGAGTCTGAGTAGAGCTTTTAGCAAGAGGTCTAACTTAAGAGACCATCGACTTAATATAGAAGGCTGTATGCCTAGGTTCTTATATATGAACCTTATGGTAATCACAAACCAGAAACCTGTAATAAATACATACAAAATTAAGAGAAAGGAACCAAACCATAATACTAAAGAAAGCCATCAAATCACAAGGGAAGAGAGAAAGAGAGAAAGAAAGGAAACTATTAACACTCAGGAAAAAAATAACAAAATGGCAGTAAGTACATGTTTATCATCAGCTACTTTAAATGTCACTGGACTAAATGCTCCAATCAAAAGGCACAGGGTGGCCAATTGGATAAAAAAACAGAACCCATATATATGCTGCATACAACAGACACACTTCAGACCTAAAGACACTCACAAACTGAAAGTGAAGGGATGGATAAAGATACTCCATGCATATAGCAAAGAAAAGAAAGCTGGGGGAGCCATATCTGTATCAGACAAAGGAGACTGTAACAAGGGCACTACATAATGATAAAGGGAACAACTCAACAAGAGGATGTAACTCTTGTAAATATCTATGCACCCAACATAGGAGCACCTAAATATGTAAAGCAATTATTAGCAGACATAAAAGGAGAAACAGACAGCAACACAGTAACAGTAGGGGACTTTAACACTCCACTTACACCAATGGGTAGATCATCCAAACAGAAGATAAATAAGGAAACATTGGCCTTAAATGACAAATTAGAAGAGATGGACTTAGTAGATATATACAGAAGATTCCATCCAAAAACTGCAGAATACACACTCTTTTCAAATGCTCACGGAACACTCTCCAGGATTCATCACACATTAGGCCACAAAGCAAGTCTGAATAAGTTTAAGATGGCTGAAATAATAACAACCATCGTTTCTGACCATAACGGTATGAAACTAGAAACCAACTACAGGAAGAAAATCAGAAAAGCAGCAACTCTGTGGAGATTAAACAAAATGCTACTGAACTACAACTGGGTCAATGAAGAGATGAAAGAAGAAATCAAAAAATACCTGGAGACAAATGAAAATGACAATACAACATGCCAAAAGTTATGGCACACAGCAAAAGCAGTTGTAAGAGAGAAGTTCATAGCAATACAGGCCTACCTCAACAAACAAGAAAAAATCTAAAATAAACAATCTAAGTGCATGTAAAGGAACTGGAAGAAGAAGAAACAAAGCCCCAACTCATTAGAAGAAAGGAAATAATAAAAATCAGAGTGGAAATAAATAGACAATGAAAAAAATCAATGAAACAAAGAGCTCATCCTTTGAAAAGATAAACAAAACTGACAAACCTTTAGCTAGGCTCAGCAAGAAAAAGAAGAGAGAAGGCTCAAATAAATAAAATCAGAAATGAAAGAGGAGAAATTACAAACCAACAGCTCAGAAATACAAGAGATTATAAGAGAATACAATGAAAAGCTATTTCCCAACAAATTGGGTAATCTAGAAGAAATGGATAAATATTTAGAATCATACAACCTTCCAAAACTGAATCAAGAAGAAATAGAGAAATCTGATAGACCAATTACCAGTAAAGAGATTGAAAGAGTAATCAAACACCTCTCAAAAATATAAGTTCAGGACCTGATGGCTTCCCTGGTGAATCCTACCAAATATTCAAAGAAGACTTAATACCTTTTTTTCTCAAACTCTTCCAAAAAACCAAAGAGGAGAAGCTTCCAAACTCATTCTATGAGGGGAACGTTACGCTCATACCAAAACCAGAGAAGGACAACACAAAAAAAGAAAATTACAGTACCACTCATGAACACTGATGCAAAAATCCTCAACAAAATACTAGCAAATCAAATACAATAACACATTAAAAAGACCATACACCATGATCAAGTGGGATTTATTACAGGCACAGGCATGCAGGGATGGTTCAACATCCACAAGTCAATCAACATGATATATCACATTAACAAAACCAAGAATAAAAATCACATGATCATCTCAATAAATGAAGAGAAAGCATCTGACAAGCTACAGCATCCATTTATGATAAAAACTCTAAATAAAATGGGTATAGAAGGAAAGCACCTCAACATAATAAAGGCCATATATGACAAACCCACAGCAAACATCACACTCTATGGAGAAAAACTGAGAGTTATCCCTCTAAGAACAGGAACCAGACAAGGATGCCCACTCTCACCACCCTTTTTAACCCGGTGTTGGAAGTCCTAGCCAGAGCAATCAGTCAAGAAAAAGAAATAGGGGCCAGCCTGGTGGCACAGTGGTTAAGTGCGCACGTTCTGCTTTGGCGGCCCGGGGTTTGCCAGTTCAGATCCCGGGTGCGGACACAGCACTGCTTGGCAAAGCCATGCTGTGGCAGGCGTCCCACATATACAGCAGACGAAGATGGGCACAGATGTTACCTCAGGGCCAGTCTTCCTCAGCAAAAAGAGGAGGATTGGCACCAGATGTTAGTTTAGGGCTTATCTTCCTCCAAAAAAAAAAAACAAGAAAGAAAAAGAAGTAAAAGTGATCTGAATTGGAAAGGAAGAAGTGAAACTGTCACTATTTGCAGATGACATGATTTTAAATATAGAAAACCCTAAAGAACCCACCAAAAAACTTTTAGAAATAATAAATGAATACGGTCAACCTGCAGGATACAAAATCAACATACAAAAATCAAGTTGCGTTTCTATACTCTAACAATGAAGTAGCAGAAAGAGAAAACTAAGAATACAATCCCATTTACAATTGCAACAAAAAGAATAAAATACCTAGGAATAAACTTAACCAAAGAGGTGAAAGATCTGTACACTGAAAACTATAAACCACTGTTGAAAGAAAGTGAAGATACAAAGAAATGGAAAGATATTCCATGCTCTTTGATGGGAAGAATTAACATAGTTAAAATGTCCATACTTCCTAAAGCAATCTCCAGATTCAATGCAATCCCCATCAAAGTTCCAACAACATTCTTCACACAAATAGAACAAAGAATCCTAAAATTTATATGGAACAAAGAAAGACCCCCAAATAGTCAAAGGAATCCTGAGAAAAAAGAACAAAGTTGGAGATATGACACTTCCTGATTTCAAAATATACTACAAAGTTATAGTAACTAAAATGGCATGGTACTGGCACAAAAACAGACACACAGATCAATGGAACAGAATCAAGAACCCAGAAATAAACCCACACATATACGGACAGCGAATTTTTGACAAGGGAGCCAAGAACATACAATGGAGTAAGGAAAGTCTCTTTAGTAAATGGTTTTGGGAAAAGTGCAGATCTCAACAGAGACGGTTAGGTCAGTTACCACACTTTTCATTTCAACGATTTACTACTCACATTAAAGCTACTGCAATGTTCTGATATGGGCCAAAATCTCAAAATTATCTGCATGGATGGCTCACATAAAACTGAAATACATAACACCCATCTTCCACTTCCTCTAACCCAGCACCAATCAACAAAACTCACAGTGATCGCAGAAATGTTTTGTTTCTGTGCTATGCAGCATGGTAGCCACTAGCCACATGTGCCTATTGAGCATCTGAAATGTGCGAGTGTGACTGAGACACTGAATTTGTAGTTTAATTCAAACTTTAAATTTAACCTACCTCAAGTGGTAGTGGCCAGTGTGATGGACAGCACAGCTCTAACCTTTGTCTCCACTCTGGGCAATGACACAGCCTGTCCTGTGCCTATTCTCAACGTGGTCTTGTGCAGGGACGGCCACCAACTAGGTGATCACTCAACTAAGACACTGAAACTAGTTTCTCAGCGCATGACTCCATAAAGAGGAATTAAGCTAAAAAGCTCTAAGAACAAAATGGCAGGTAGCGGGATATGATACTTTGAAGAAAAGACGCCTGTCAGTATTCCTTCAGAAATACAAGAGTTGCCTATTTATAAGATGTCCATACTGTCATTAAGTTACTTGGATTCGATGAAAGCTCTAGAAACAATACAGTAATCACAAAGTGGAGAATCAATCAACCAAATTCATTTCAAAAGTACAAATGAAGGGTGCCAGCCCTGTGGCCTAGCGGTTAAGTTCAGTGCACTCCGCTGTGGCAGCCTGGGTTCTGTTCCTGGGCGCAGACCTACACCACTCATTGGAGGCCATGCTGTGGTAGTGACCCACATACAAAATAAAGCAAGACTGGCAAAGATGTTAGCTCAGGGTGAATCTTCCCCAGAAAATAACACAAAAGAACAGATGAAGATGAAGATCAGTAATTAAAAGATTTCAAAATGTAATTTTAAATCAGGCCTATGATGAAAAGTACTGTGTGGAAACAGCATAGAATGATAAGAATATCACAAGGGTATCCTTTCATAACTTTCTAATTCATATACTAAGCTGAACAGCCAAACAGTGAATCAAATTTAGCACCGCATATTCATTGGTCTACCTTGCAGCAATGAGAGTAAATTTTATAATTAGCTGGCTTACATGCTCTAACACTCTAAATTTAAGTTAGAATAAAAAAAAAGTCACAGTTACCAGTTCCATCAGGTGTTTTATGGAGAGTGACACGGCTTCATCAGATGGCGGGTCCATTAACCTACTCAGAAAACAGGCAATTCCACCTAGTCTTAAGATCTGGGGAGAACAAACATAATTAAACATGTACCACATACTGACATGACTGTTTAGTCCTGCCTGTGTCACTCACTCCAACAAAGCATTAAACATACACATGATTTTAACGTTAGTTATTTTACCAGAGTAAGTTAAAATCACATTTGTGATTTTATAAAAACATGTTTAAAGGCCAACAGATTACTGTCTACCATCCACCAACTCTATTAATGAGAAAAGTAGTGGTTAAAATCTCAACAAACAAGTTGATTATCAATTACCTTCAAAATAAAAAGGCTAATCATATCAAAATACATAAGGTGCTGAAAAAATGGTAGGTAGCTTATAATGAGGGGTGACAGCTTAAGATGTGGTAATAGAAGCTATCATTTAGTGAACACTTACCAGGTGCCAGGCTCTGTTCTAAGAATTTTGTATGAGGTTAATTTAAATAACTTGCCCAATATAACAGAAGCAGCTTGTCAGGGAAGGAACTGTGGGATTCAAACAGGCAGTCTGGCTCCAGAGCAGTGAATGATTAAAAACTATTTAATAAATGCTTGAAGGAAGTTTAAAAACAGTTTACTAACACATGCAAAAAACAAATGCATGGTAAAAATTCTTTCCTGCAGATTAATACACTACTTACTTCTATAAAAGATGTTGAAAATTAGAACCTCACCCCCATTTAGTTTCTTAACTCCCCCACCTAATTTACCTTTATTTGTAAACACAGCTCTTCCAAAGGGGTTCTCAAAATTTCCGGCAGTTGATAGTCATCCAGAAGGCTTGCTCTAAGACCATTGTACAGATGATAGCAGTGACCAGGTTGAACTCTTAAAAAAAGGTTGGGGGGAGGAGCACTGTCAGTGACATTTACTTGCTTAATTTTTATTAATCATGTATTCCTTTCCTCATCTGTTTTGAATAACCTTAAATCCACTATCTCTGTCCTAGTTTTAAGAATTACAAGATTCCCCCTCCAATAATTTGGTTCCCTATTTCCATCTTATAGAGTCCAGATTGCTGTGCTCAATAACAGTAGTCTACTTAAGTTAATTTCCATATGCCTTGTGAGCATCTTCTGTAACAAATTTTGGCATTATGTTAACCTGTTTATATTATTTTAAAAGATTTTAAGTATGTGCTATTTAGTGAGCTCTCAGAAGGATGCTGGAGAACTTTTTCCTATTGTTTCTATCCAGTGACAAGAAAGATACTATTCTTTGGACAATGTTAAGGACAGATGTGAAGAGGTAAGGGTATTCATGTATTTTCAAGCAAGATAAATATTTCTATGAGCTCTTGCTGCTACAGGAAGGGATGGCGTTTTCCTAGAGGAATGAAAATAAATTCTAAAGATCTTGGCTATTTCGGTCATGAGAGTACAAAGATCCATCATCTATTATATAACATGCCTACAGAAACTAAGAGGAAGAGTGCCTCCACTGAGGAGCACATGATAGAGTCTGCTCTGGCTTTCAAAATAATTATCAATCTAATCAGGCTTTGCTAAAGGAATTTATGTCTATGGAGCCTTCAAGGGACTATCTTTCACTTAAATTAAAACACTGCTAATTCCATAGTTAACCTCCACCAAGACAGTGAGAATGAAGAATTAGATAAAATGTAACACTTCAATTACTTTACTTCCATAATTGTTTTCACACATTAAACCTAAGGCCTCATGTGTTTACTATTCATATATAAAAGTGGGCCCAAACCTGTTCGCTACGGCAAACACTTTCTGAATCAGTATCCAGCGGTGACAGGTCTGTATGGGCAAACCCCAGGGCTGCTGGGCCCTCAATCAAGTTCTCCGTGCTAACTAATGAGAAGAGGACAATTCTTGGACTAAGCCATGACTGACTCAACAGCACCAAGTGCATAATTTCATAAACTACCTGGAAGTTAAATCATACTGGGATAACCTGCAAAGACGACACCAAGTAAGTCAGAGCTTTACAGACACAGGAGTTAAAACAAAGGTTGGTAAAATGGTCTGCAGTTTTCTTTCAACTCTTCCCTCTTTACTTAAATATCTGAAGATTAATAGGAACCTTTTTGTTCTACCTGTTTGAGGCAAAAAAAAAACCACCTCTCTTCCACAACTCCAGACATGATTTTAGTACTCATATGAGTAAGCGTATAAAAATACTGTGAAGTACGTATGAAAATGAACAGTATGTGCAATTATTTGTGTTAAAGGCCAATCATTTTTCCTACCATTAAGACAGAGATATTCTAATTTCTTATGCTACCACCACATCAGTGAGGAACAGGTGCCTTCCTTGTGTTTTCATTGGTAACTAATAGTGAAAAACCAGTACAGCTATAACGTACAACGAGCTCAGGCCGCCTGGATTGAAATCCTGGCTCCGCTGCTCACCAAGCTGTGTGACTCTGGACAGATTCTTTCTTTCAATCTTAATTCCCTGACCTGTAAAATGGAGATGACAACCTACCTCATCACACTGTGGTGAGGATTAGGCAAGTTAATGTATATCAAGTGCTTAGGAGAGGACCTCACATGCAAATAGTACCAATAGTTACCTTAGTAATAAATGTTTTAAAAATAAGAATGGAAACAAAATTATAACTAATAAGAATAAAGAACAGTAATCTTAATTAACCAGACTGAGGAATCAGAAGGTAGAAATCATAAAATAGAAAACTTGGCAGACACTTTTCCAAAGAAACTACGATTAAGACAACTTTCCCACTTAAAAATGTGCTGCAGTAAGGTTTAAAAAATACAAATGGTAACTCTCCTAACAAATAATATTTTTAAATGCCAGCAACACATTCTGCTACAAAAACTTTTGTTGTGTTCTAAAGACTGCAGACAAAGGCCCGCCTCACCTTCCAGCCCGACCTCTCCTCTGCTTGGCGTTGGCCTTGCTAACCCACTCAGCGGACATCGTGCTGATGTTGTTCTGTGTGTCAAAGTGTGTCTCCTTTATTTTTCCTCCATCTATCACAAAAACTACATCATCTATGGTAATGCTGTTTGGAAAATAGATAAACAAAATATTAAAAACACATCAAAAAGCAGATATAGGGATTTTAGAGCATCTTTTATTGCCTCACACTGAGTTTACGTTTAGGATGCTCCCCACTCTTCCCGCATTTGCCAACGTCACAGGGATCAAGCGCCTGCAGAGGCAGTACACTGCCCATTCTGCAGACCATGTGCTCAACTCTTATTTGCCCACAGCCAGACTTCAGAGCTTGCCTCATGGCTTTTGTCCCTAGCTTTGTGGGCCCCCCCAGTGCCATGGTTTAATATCAGCTTCCACAGAGCAATCTGTTTCAGTGACTGTATACCTGTACCTCCAAGAAAATACAATAAATTTTAAAGGCTGCATATAACTAATTACCAAACTACCAAACAATTCTATTCCCAATCAGAAAAAGGCAAAAAGGGCAAAATTGACCTCAGCTCCCATGCTTCTTTAGGAAAACAGGAAAAAGAAAAAGCACTTAAAAAGTTGTTCCTGAAGAGGGCTACAACATTAGTACAGGTGGGAAAAAAAACAAACCTATGCTGACTCCCACAACTAAATTAAACTTGCTTCATTTTAAAGAAATTACAAACTATCTTGTAGAGATAGAAGATTAAGGTATATTAAACATTTATGGAGATCAAAACTAATGTAATCATTAGTAGTTGATATTTAAAACAATTTTTACCTAGTCTCTGCAATGTTGGTAGCAATTACTATTTTCCGAACACCAGGAGGGGTTCTTTTAAATACCTGTAAGAACAAATACATCAAAACCCCAAAAGTACACTAATTTCTGATACACCATTCTTGCAATTAGAGAAATTACTTCAAATACCGTTCATTTTTAGCATTCTGTGTTCACTGACTGACACACACATCTAATATTTATAGATATATTTACAAGGTATACGTCATTTTCAATGCTACAAAATTCCCTTTTGGTAAACCAAACCAAATGTCCCACAGATGTCAGAACCTTATTACAAACAAGATTTCAAATGGAAAACAACTTAATAGAATGTTTTAAACAAACACTAGAAGAGTATAAATATCTTATTGTGTAGACAAAGTTTTAATGGAGATGGAGAGAAGTTTAGTTTAAGAATAAGAGTTATGAATTACCCAAAACTATATGGGTAACAACACCAACCAAACAGGCAGATGCCTTACTCCTCAGAATGGATGTCAACTGGCTGCACCACCATATACTGGCTTCTGAGATCAGACTGGATTAAAAGAAAAATTCTCTTCAAATGCTGAATCCTACAAACAATGCCACTTTGACAAAGCCAACCAAGTATAAGGAAGACATGTAGCCAAGTACCAGTTGGCTGTAGAGCAAAAAAAAAAAAAAATACAGAAACCCATCCTCTCGTTGATAAAAATGGTAATCGCTGGAGAAGACGTTTCCCAGTCTAGTCACGTATGCTCCAGCAAACTAATGAACAGCTGATGGTTAGGATGTTAGAGATGGAAGCACCTCCACACTGGACGCCCCTCTGTCCAGTCTCTGCAGTCAACAGCTCTCTCTTTCCTCTTCTCCTCCCCTCAGGTGTGCACTGTGTATCTAACCCAGCTGGCTGTGCCTTACAGGACTAAAGTACCTGGAGAAAGGATACTAAAAGGGTCTCAAAAAATGTCTTAATACTTCCTTATAAAAAGAGTGGGAAAATGAGAAGGGAAGAGATGCAGATTTTCTCGTCCAACTCATTCCACCTGGGTCTGCAAACACTGCATGCAGTCCGGAAAATGATCCTGCCTTTTGAGAAGGCAGCGCTCATTCTAGCTAGAGAAATCCCCGAATCTGAGAGAGCCAAAACATTCAAAACCATACACATTACTGATAAAACAGGAAATCTCATACCTGCAAATACACTAATTCTGTTAAATCAAAATCTCAAACATCAAGCTGTAGTATGTTACAGAAAATTAACTTCTACATTGATTTATTTTTATTGGTCCTCACATACCTTTTCCTTTTATTTAGGAAATTGAAGTTATTGGTAAAACCAATCTTTAAACTTTTTCCTAATTTTGACAAAATTAATTTGATGTGTGGATTACCCTCTTATTCAAGTTTTTGTCCAAACATCACCTGAAGACTCATTTGCAAAGGTTCTAAAAGAAGTATTTTTTATTTGCATTGCTATTTGAAAATACACCTTAAAAAATAAAACACACAACAAGCAGTCCTTACAGCCAGCCTCAGTTTGAAAGACAGCGGTGAAGCAATTTGACCACATACCTGTGTCTGGTTAACTGTAGGCATCAGTGAATGTAAAGGTATAATAAGAAACTTGTCTGGAAATTAGAAAGAAAATTAAACTGTAAGATAAACAGTTGTGTAGCAAAGTTCCATCAGACATATATGGAACCATAAATTCAGATACTAAGCCACATAATTCTTAATTTATACTCCCAAATATAATCAGACCAATTTTATTCTTTTTATATTCTCATTTCTGAGTGCTCCAACACATTCTTGTCAACATTTTATTGTTAATTTATTTCATATTGATAAGTACATTCCCCAAATCCTTAAAGAATGCTTAAAAGTTGGAACAATCTTTTCAAATTATACTAGAAAACATCATTAACTCCATTCCCACTACATAACTGAAGACCAGAATTCTGCTTAATATGTTTGTAGACGAAAGTGATCCTCACTATTTTAATCATAAAGAGAATACCTGAATTTTTAAAGCAAATTACTTATTAAATTTCCACGTCCTAAGAAAATAATGAAATAGTGCTAGTTAAATGTGTAACATTTCAAAAGTGACCTACATTTTTTAACAGAATTTTGTTAGAAACTTAAGAAATTATACTCATTCGTTTTAAGTTGCAAAGTGAAACAGCTCAAGCCCATTCACGATCATCAGCCAGCAGAGAGCAGCCTGAGTGCAGCAGACTGAGGGCAAGGAGGGAGTGTCAGGAAGCAAGTGAGCTTTCACCTTAGCCGTGGTTACAAAACACGCAAACCGACTTAAACCTCTAGCCAAGTGTCGAAATGACTCGATATGTGTATTTCCCCAGAAAACAGCTGTTGTTATTCAAAGGAGATGACGCTCGCCATAGACTCTCTATCCCTTCTGAACTTACGAAGAAGTAAAAAGCTGTCAAGCAATTAGCACCGCTCAAAAGGAATGCTGATTACTCGTCCCTGTGAGGTGGTCTCAAGTACATCAACTCAATTAATATTCCAGCCAAAGACACTTAAACAGAATCAAGCCTTCACATCTAACTTCCAGCTAAGAGGAAATACAGGAGAGGGTCAAAAGAAATGATACCATGAAGATTCACACAAATCCAGAAAGTTGGAGCTTGTCTTTTCCTCAAGCCATCACCATGCGGAGAGCAGGGGAGGGCGGGAGTGACATTTTAGAACTACAGTAAAAGATTTGTCTGCTTTGACTTTTTCTAGAGTTTGAACAAGCTAGCTGTGAAAGACACTTTTGGGGAAAAATGAGGAAATCTGATTATAGACTGGATTATCAAATGACGTTAAAGATTAGGTACGCTAACGGCCTTGTGGTTATACAGAAAACTGCATTTTTAGAGATGTATGCTTATATACTTAGAGATAACATGTGACAGGTGAAATTGACTTTAAAAAGGAAGAAAATTAGACCACAAAAATAAAGGTTACATTAAAGTCACTGGTATATGGTGTTCACTATAAGATTCTCCAGTTTTCTGTAAGTTGAAAATGTTTCATTATAAAAAGTTTAAAAAAATTAGCAGCCAGGGATAATCACAGTAAAAACAATTTTGCTACAGACAATATAGCTGGGATAAAAACAGTTTATGTTGCTGATATGCAGAAACAAAGTAGTCAATGGGAACATATTCTACATTCTTATGAGAAGAAAGAAATAAGAAAGTTGATAAGCATTTGATAAATTGAGTTTTGAGATTTACTATTCAGTCAGAATAGAGTTAGGCCAATTTTCCCAATTTCTACAACGGCTAGCACACTATAACTGATTACTAAGGCTAAACTTCTAAAATATAATTTATTCTAAAAAACATTTTTGTTAAATTTTTGAAAGATTTCCTTTAAAAGGCAGTGAGCTTGTAGTGAAAGTATAAATACCTCCATCTTTGAGAATAATTAATTTAAATCAGAAAGATAATGAAGTCAATTATAATAATCTATAACACACCCTTTCCCCCCAATCCTCCAGAAATGATAACACTACATTTTGGTATATATCTTCCTTGCATTTTTCTTAGTAAATACATACACAGTGTGACAGATTTTAAAACTAAAAGCAGATCATACATTAGTATTTATGATGGAGGGAAGAGAGGCCGAAGTTGGAAGGTTTAGCCAAAAAAAATAAATTCCAGTTGTTTAAAAGATTAATTTAACTGTATAGTGTAATCACAGCTATACTTTTTCTATGGAGAAAGGTTATCACTGACCAAGAAAAGAGAAAGCAGTATTCCATTATAGTGAAGTCATGGTAATCAGATAAGGTTATTTTTGCAGCCAGAAAACAGTAAATAATTTTAACTATAGAGAATGCTTTGGGGCATTACCATAATTGGATTTAACAAAGAATAAAAAATACAACTTTCTCTTCTGGCCAATACAAACAGACCAAAATATTTTTCAGTGTTTCGTAAAAATAAAATTTCAAAAGCATTTCAATAGAGTAAGGTTAGAAATTATATCCACAACTATAAAATACTAAATAGAATTTGCTCTGTATTTTACTGATTTGAAGTTAATAATGACTTCTGAAAATGCTTTGACTGAATTTTACAGAAGACAAATGTACCCATGCACTCCTCTAAGACGGAAGAGGGTACATCTCTCTAAACACGCTGTTAAAGCATGAGAATCACCTGAGGACGTTTTTAAACTTCAGATGGGCAGGTCCCTTTCTGAGACCTGCGGAGAGGACGGGGTCTGCATGTTTGAATTTTAACAAGCGCCACAGGTGACTCTGCTCTATGGTCAGAGCTGAGACAGACTGAGCTAAGGAATAAATTCAAACTTCTTTCCTGCCCAACTAAATGCAGCATTGAGCAAAAAGACAAAAAATCTGTTTAAATGCCAACATCTTAACTTTAAAGACTCAGTTTTATCAGGCAAATTTAGGAAGAGAGGAAAAATACTCTCACCCTAATACTAAATAAAGAACTTCACTCCACCATCTTCATCTGTGACCCTAAGGGGAAAAGAGATCCAGCTTTTGAAAAAACCCAACCCAGTCTAAGACCACCAAGTTCTTAGACTGAGGAAGCCTTAGAGGCAACACTTCTTCAAATGAAAGAAAGAAACCAGGCTACATACAATTCAAGTTCCACTCCTGGAACTGCAGTAAAATACGTTTCTATAATACCTGATTTAAACATCACTTGCGACATCAAGAGGTCATGTAAAGTACTGATATTGTCCCAGCCTGGTAGAAAGACCAGTATTGCACCATCCTGCAAGTAGGGGAGAATCACCATTACAAAGAACCACAAGACAAAATACACTACAAGTTAAATTCTGTGCACACATTTTCATAAAAATTATACTAGCTCAGGATACTTTTAGTTACTGATTATAATTAAAGAATACGAGCACTGTGCTTAAAATGGGATTTATAATCCAGATATTTCATTTGTTTAATCTGCAAACAGGCCAAATGTTTAAATCTTTCAGTGTTTTGGGATTCTTATTTCTGGTGTCAAAAGCAATTTCTTCCATAGGCTATTTTTAAAAGCATTTAAAAAATTATTTTTCTTTTTTCATGGCCTTGATATGAAAATAAAAGGAAAATTATGTGACTTCAAAACACCAAAACAAAACTAACCTCTTCTTTCAAAACAATGTAACGAATAAGGGCAGCAATCAAATTCAGATCAACTTTATCATCATCCATCATTTCCATAACACCTACAGTACTTGCAGAATACCTATCAAAGTTAAACAAAAAGTCATGAGATACTAAAGTTTCCTGAGGTTTAATTTGCTATAAAACTTTAAAATTAACTCAATCTGCAAAGAGGGGAACATCAGCAACAGACAGAATTACTGGGATATTAAGTGTTTACAAGTCAAATGAGCACAATATTTAGCTGGGTTATGAGACCTGCAACGCTCTCCTTAAATATGTACGAATTCAAGAAGATGATCTCCGCCTTTTGTTATAGTCATTTAGCCACTGTGTTCTCACTTTCAAACGAAATAAACTTACCTTTTTCGCAGTTCCTTTACATAGTCTGGCCAGCGTTCTTTATAGATTGCTTCTTTTTCTTCTTTTTCTTGTCTATTTACATGCCCTTGCATGAAACCCCTCTTAAACTGTGATCTGTGTTCTTTTTGTTCTGGAACATATCTAAAATAAAAACATTGTTAAATAGCTTCACTTTTTTGAAATGCTTTTTAGTTTTAGCTACTACGACTTTTTACATTTAGGATTTTAAAAAGAGAATTCTAAAGAACATTTGCACTATACTTTCTCATGAATGCTAGATAAACATCAATTTATTTGCAAGTATTCACTAACGTATAAAATCTGACATTTTAGATAAAAATCATTCTTCTCTATTATCTACTCTATACTTCTCTATCTACCTCTAGATCGTCTTAAAAATAAACTACAGTAACTTTCACCTTTAAGTTTGCTCTAAAACAAAAGTTAACATTAAGTCCGAAACAACAGTTACTGATTGTCTAGTAAACAACTCAGATTCTGCATACAGGAGGTTTCCCAACCTGAGTGCACACAGGAGTCCCCTGGAGAGTTTGTAAAATAGATTCCTAACTCCTGGACCTTGAGATCTGGACTCAGGAGGTCTGACTGGGGTCTGCTCATCCAGGAATTCTGATCAGTGCCCCAGGAGATTCAGACAGTGCGTCTACAGATCTGCAGACCCACCTGAGAACTACTGAATTCTGCTCAGTCCCACAGACACAGCTAATGGCAGAGCCAGAACCAGCATACAGATCTCCAGTGGCAGGCCAGTGCGATGCCACGCCTCCACCATGCAGCAGTGGCTGCTAAAAACAGAGGGCGTCTGTCCAAGAACGCCACTGCCACAAGTGGGCTCTGAGAGGCAGGGGGTGGAGTGGACAAAGAAAAGTGACCAAAGCCCCTCAGAATTCACCCAAGGAACAGCATCTAGATGGAATGCGGGCTTTAGAGCATGGCCTTACGAAGGGACTGATGTCCTTGCTCTGCCAGTGACTAGCTGTGTGACCCTAGACAAAGTAAAACCTCTGGCCTTTAGTTTCCTTATTTGAGAGAGGAATACTCTTCTAACAGTACTGGCACAAGAATAAAAAAAGTGTGAGAAAGTACAGCACAGTGCCTGACACACAGCAGACACCAGTGTGAATCCCCTTCCCTATTCAGTACCTGTGACCCAGGTTCCCCTAAGTCTTCGATACATATAGAGGCACCACCTGGAGGGAGGGCAACCTGAGACAGAGATGAGTCCTAGTCAGCAGGATGGACCCACAGTTGGCTCCCTTCCCAGCAACTGTGAAAGAGGCACCCTCAACCCCCCGCCCCAAGGGCCAGCCACCACCCTCCCGTCAGCACATGCTAGTTTGTCCCCTCCTCCTACCCACAGTGCAGCTCTTCTTCTGGGGAGGGGACGGCAGGGGCTTCGGCTGAGCACTTCTATCCAAGGACCACCCACCTTCAGCTCCCCTCTAAGGGCTGGCTACGGGATGACAAGTACAGAGATATCACCCTTTTCTTCCTTTAAGAAATCCCTTAGCTACAGTTCTTCATACATTCCCTGCCTTCTAGAAAGCTTAAGAGAGCAATTCATCTTTACATGATTTTAGATTACTGACCTCTGAAACTTTGTTTTCATTACTGCCAAGCTGTTGCCTATTATTCTCTTAGAAAACACTGGTAAATGTGCTATGGTAGGAGGTGGGACACATGGTAGAAAGTGGAATTGAGGAGGGAGAGCACACAAATTTATGGGCACTGATGATAAAACCAGAGCATGGAAGACCCACATACCATCTCTCTCACTTTTAGTATGTTCCACCCTCTCTGACACACACACGTCCCTCTTTCCTACCCTGACTTCATGGCTTTCCTGACTCGCTCAACCTATTTCTGCTATATTATCTCATTCCCAATACACTCTACTTGCCCCGAACAGGTCAGTCATACCTTCTACGGCTCCCTATTTAGACATCATTTCTGAGGGTGTGTGCAAAGTCTTTCCTTGTTTTATGCTCACACCACAGCATATACAGTGCAAGCCATAAAGTTTAATAAATATTTCTTAAATAAATGTTCCCTCAAAAGTGAGCTGACTTTTTCTGTGTAAAATACGCTGTAGGGTCTCTGTTCTTGCTTTCCCAGTCACTTCCTGCTTTCTTCTTTAACAGGTAAGCTGTGGAGTCCTGACAAATGTCACCTCAAGGGTTTCTACATCTGTCCACACATTTATTCAGATGTTTACTAGAGGCCAGGCACTATGCTATGCAGTAGCCACAAAGATGAACCCACGAAATCCTTGACCTCAGAAAACACGAAGTCTGGTGCAAGAGGCAAATATAGAGAGAGACGTTACATGGCAATGAGGTAAGTGTTGTAAGACACGATAACAGTGCCACTGGAGTCCAGATGAGAAAGCAACTCACTCTGTGAGAGATATCAGAGAAGGCGTAACAAACAATGACGCTGGGATTTGTTCTTACATGATCAATAGTTTACAGATGAAAAGATGGAGAAGTGGTAAGTGTAAGTCTAAAAGGAGGAAACAGCATGGAACAAAGCATAAAGTCATGAACGAAAGGCATGGGCTGGCATGTAGAGAATGGTGCCTTTAGCATGGGCAGGCCATGGATGGATGAGGCTAAAAAGAGGACGAGGCCGGACTGTAAGGAGCCTCATGATGACCAGCTGAGGAATTGGAACCTGGTCCCAGCCCAATCCTCATCAAGGAACACAAATGTAATTCTGTGTAGCCCTTTGGTGAGGGTTGCCAATACCTAATGGCCAGTGTTGAGGGGATCAAGAACTGGGCACAGGGGCCAGCCCAGTGGTGCAGCGGTTAAGTTCACATGGTCCACTTCTCAGCAGCCTGGGGTTCGCCAGTTCGGATCCCAGGTGTGGACATGGCACCACTTGGCAAAAGCCATGCTGTGGCAGGAGTCCCACATATAACGTAGAGGAAGATGGGCATGGATGTTAGCTCAGGGCCAGTCTTCCTCGGCAAAAAGAGGAGGATTGGCAGTAGTTAGCTCAGGGCTAATCTTCCTCAAAAAAAAAAAAAAGAACTGGGCACATCTGCTGAGGTGCTCTGCTATAGGCCATGACAAACCATTAAAGGTCTCAAACAAGTTTTTGAAGAGAAATCTCAGGGGGTAGAAAGCTTACATGAGCAGGTTTTTTAAGGAAAATCTATGGCAGCAGTGTGACAGTAAGACCACGGTGCCAAAAGAGGAACTATTACATTAGTCCAGGAGAGAGAATAAGACCTTAAGGAGAAGAAATAAAAATGGGAAGGCATGCTCAAGGAGAAAGCTCTCAGGGCTTGCGATGGGGGGAAGTACAGAATGACGTAGACATTTGGTTACTGAGCATGTAAAGCAGTGAACCTATCCTGGTACTAACTGCTTGACAAACACTAGCTCTTCTGATTTACAGCCTAGACAACAGGAGGAGGACAACATCAGTAACCATTCTAAGACACACTGGGCAAGACATATTGTTTTGTTTTGCTGTAACTTTTTGGTGGAAGCATGGTGGGGATCAAATATAAGATAACGACTTTGGTTTGAAAAATGTGAAGTCCAAAGTATCCGTGGTACTGGAACGCTGCTGAGCACAGAGATACATAAGAAGTTCAGGGTTCCAGAGCTTCAGTTCTAAAGCTATTGTTCTGCCAGCCATGAAACAGAGAACTATCGTCATGGAAATAGGACGACACAGCGAAACAGTAAAGACTGAGAAAAGGCTCAGTGAGAGCCCCAGTGGAAAATCATATTGAAAGGGTGGGCAATGGAAGCCAGCAGAGGAGAACAAAAGCCAGGTGGGAGAACCAGAAGAGAGGCTCAAGCACTAAAGACAGAGGTTCCCAAACTCTGCTGCCCAGGGATCTTGAAAAAATACTGATGCCTGGCTACCACCCCAGACGCTGTAACGTAAGGGACAGAGATGAATGCGACATCTGGATTTTAAAAGGCTCTGGGTGATTTTAACGTGCAAGCAAGTTTGGGAATCCCTGAAAAAGGAAAAATAATGTTTTAGAAGGAAACAGTTAACAGTGAGTTTCTGAGACTAAGGTTTGACAGGAGAAAGGTGACATATTAGTAATTTTTGATGTCTTTCATTTCCCTAACAGTTACTTACCTTATTTTTTCAATTATATCTTCCAAAAGATACTCCACAACAGGAAAAGTAAAACCAGGTATGTGTATCATTGGACAGTTACCTAATATGGCAGACAAAACATAAATCTGTACTTGAACATTAGAACAATATAAAGAAGTAAACAGGACAATGACTTTTATTACTTTTCTTATCTGCAGAAAATGGTCCTGTAATTTTTACCATTCCACCTGTTTTTCCACATCCAGATTAATAAAAAGCAGCAGCCTAGTCTTCACTCAAGACCATTTTACTGCTACCACACTCTATACACATCTCACAGTTCTACAAAGTAATTTAAGGCAAAGAATAGAGCATTTTGAGTTGGACTCAAAACCCGTTAGTTAGAAGTCTATTTTCTCATCATTAGCCAAGATGGTGCCATTAGAACTAAGTTTTACTGAAATCTACATAAGTAGCATCAGTCCTGTGGCACGGAGAATTAGAGAAAGAAAAGCAGTAGTCGGAACAAGCAAAGCAAGCAGTACACACTATACACAGAGGTCAGCAGTGCATGAGGCGACACACTTGAGCTGGCATCACAGCTCTGCCTCTGACTTACACATGGTTGAGCAAGTTACTCAGCGTTAGCTCCGGATATCTCATTCAGAAAAAGCAACATAATATACCCAACTAATCTCACAAGGCTGCGAGGGCCAACTGGGCTGAATCTAAGAAGACGGACTCTACTGCGCTCCACTGTAGCTCCCACCCCTCCCCTCCTGCCCCTACAGTTACAAGCAGGAGAGAAAGTGAGGGGTAATTTTAGGAGAATGTCCTTTGCAGCTAGTCAAATTTAGTTTCACGTCCTCTCAACTCTCTGGTTAACTATGAAACCTTGGGCAAGCTACTTAACTGCTCAGAGGCTGCGTTCTCAACAGTAAAACGGGAATAACGGCACCTACCTCACAAGGTATTATGACGACTGATGAAGACAAAGTGGCAAATATACTACCTGGCACACTGAAGGTGTCCCCTAAGTGATTGCCAGTATTATTGTTATTGGCAAATGGCCACCCTAACCTGCGATAGCACACAAAAAGCCACAGGGGAATCAGAGGAAAACGTTTATAAAATTATCCAGATCTGAGGTTTGACTTCATTGATGCCACCTTAATTATCTGATGGTAGAACCAAAGAACTACATGTCTTCACTATGAGAATAGAGATGATGCCACCATTTAAAAAGAGGCCCAATTCTCTAATCTGTGACACTGGAAGGTAGGAGAACATTAAAATAAAACACACTGCTAAACATATGACTACTTTGAACCTGGCACTGTATTAGTTTTTTAAAAAATTAACCCTAAAATCAGTGGCTTTGAGATAACTTTATAAAGTTACAATCATAAATTTTACTCACCAAAATATTCTGAAAATTTCTCAGCATTCAATGTTGCACTCATCAGTATTACTTTGAGGTCAGGTCGAAAATTGAGAAGACCTTTAACAACAGTCATTAAAACGTCTGACTGTAGATTTCTCTCATGGATTTCATCAAGCACAATATGACTAACACTGGACAGATGCCTATAGCAGAAGTGTAAAGTACATAACTCAGCACAAAATTTAAAAACTGAATCATTGTACCTTAACAATTAGTAAAATCCAATTCAATACATACATCTTTTGATAACATTTAACTAAACGTCCTGAATTGAAACATACTCACGGGTCTGACTGGAGCCACTGAAGGATGATTCCTGTTGTACAGTATAAGATAGAACCCTGTTTCCTTGGCAACCGACTGTGAACAAAAGACACAAATTAACAACTCTCTACTAATAAATTAGTAAGTACTACCATAAAAGTCTAAAAGAATTTCTTCAGTTTAAAAAATGCTTTCAATTTTAATGAGAGCTACTTACTTTTTCAGTTATAAGAATGCCTACCACAATAGGGTAATGAGAAACATTACATTCAAGTTCATTATACCTTATTTTTATTGTCATAATACAATGTTAATGACTTATTTTTAAAGGCACAACCATTAACATTTGGAAAATGACTGAATACTTAGGGGCTTAAACTTCTGTTCATTGACTAGAAAGTCAGTTCATCTAAAAAAGTAAGTGGAATCTGAAGCTCCAGGAAGACTAAAGAAATACAGTGGAGTGGGATGGGGGTTACAGGCACCAAAATCAATCGAGTCAGTCAGGGGCTGGGTGGCGGGACCAAAGGTAAAGGACAGCAAGTTCTCCTAATGAATGTCCAGGAAAAAGGTTCTTTTTTAATCATTCTATAATGTAAAAGCACATTTTAAAAGGGCAATCTAAATCTGAATTTGGGTTAAAAAAATGAGTTTGTGGGCTGCAATCCTTTTATGCTGCAGCTAGTTTAAACATTAACATTAATTATTAGCATAAAAATGGGGAAAATCTTTCTTTTGAATTTCCAGTTTTAAAGTTTTACTAAAATCTACCTGTAAACAAGAAGTGATCATTCTTTACCTCTGGAGACGAATTTGGTATCCGGTACTATTACCGTTGCCACAAGACTCTGCCCTTTCTGCAGCTACTCGCTCTGCGACCTTTAATTAAAAATAATATACAGTTACAGAAAAAACTTCATTTCATTTAGGACAAACATCCTGAACATCCATGAAAATCTGAGATTGTTGAAAAATTATTCATCAGATGTTCACATGAGTTAACAAAAGAGTATTAAAATCTGAGGTATCTAAAACTGTGTGTCCCTTAAGAGCTGCAGACTGCTTACTTCTTATATTTATTTTTCATTTTCTCTTATAATGCCCTCCAAGACCAAATGCCCTCTCATGTTTTCAAAGTGCCTTGGTATAGCATCCTTTCATTAATGTCTACCTTTTTTTTGGTCTTTTCTAAAAGAGTTGGAAATCGTGATCTAAACTTAGAAAACTTCTGCGTAATCTGAGGGTAACTACATGTTGATACTTTTTTCCTCACTTTTCTTTTTGGTAGAGATTGGTGTTCTTAACACCCAGTTCTTGGTTGTGTCCTGAAAGTTATGGCTGCCAAAGAGCAGTTCTGGACAGACGAAATGTTATTATAATCCAAAACTGTTTTGTGTAACTACAATAACCAACAGTCATGTTGTGACAGAACAGTGATTTATGAGGTTAGAAACAGAAAATGACATGATTAAATTTTAAGAATACTTAGAAGTAAAATTTTCCAATTAGTATATACCATATATACTGACTTAGACCATTATTTTACTTTTTCTACTCATTAAACGGCCCATTCAAATACCAACAGATCTTGCGGAAAAAAACAAAAAATAACTAGTTAGCATTTCTTCCTACTGTCAATGTATACGGTAACCGCTGCATACTAGTGAAAATGATAATATCAGATTTTTAACTTACTTAGGTACAGCTACATAATTGCATTGTGACAAGTGGTTATTTTTCATTCTGTAAATTTAAAGCACCTAATGATGGAGATTATTTGAAACTCACAATCAATTCTATAAAGATTTACCAGATTTTCATTCTTCCAGTTTTATATTGAAATTTGCCTAGATTTATAATTTATCTTCAACAAATAAACATCTATTATCAGTAAGACAGAAATCAATCTTTTGGTCTCTGATACCAAATATTTGTCAACCAAATACTTGCCTTGATAGCAATATATCCTAAACCTAATTAAGAGTAACTCCAAATCTTAAAAATCAGTAAGTCCAAGCAAGACTACCCAAAGGAGAATGAGAAATAAAGTGGGGAATTTTAGAAAGTGGGAGATTACTTACTGAAATGGCACTAATCCTTCTTGGCTGTGTACAAACTATTCTGCATGCAGATCCTTTCCCTCTTTCAATGCAGTTATCCAAAATGAACTGAGTAACTTGAGTGGTTTTTCCACAACCAGTTTCACCACTTATTACTGTTACCTGATGGTTATCGATCATATTTACCAATTCCTATTTCAAAAGGAAAAATAAGTGAAGGACATCACTTGTTGACTAAGTTTGAAAAGATAATCAAAATTCTACCAAAGAGAAGGTACTTGTTTTTAACAAACATATTAACGGTTTCTAAATTTTGTTATATGCAATGCTGGCAGTTTGGATATGTGAATCTACCAGTGTTCAAGAGATAAAACGCACCAAATTACAAACAGAACAGAGCCAAGGCATTGTTAAAGAAAAAGACACTGACAAAACAAGAAGAGACAGCTCATAAGGCCCATGCATAGGAATTACCTAATTAAAAAGAATGTTGACACGTGAAGCTATTGAATACCAGGCTAATCTCCTGATACCTAAACACCTACTGAGGACACTAAGGATTTGTACCCTAACTCAGAAATAAGGCTTTGCCTGCAGGACAAGCTTTTACAGACTGTTTTAGAGAACAAAGAAGAGAATCATTTATTTCAAGATTATTTCCTTTTAAACAATTAAAATAAAGACAAGTTTTAAAATACCTAAATCAAATGGGTAAACTTTGGGTATCTGGAAAATCGCATATTTGGGAAAGATTGTCTTTCTCAAAAATTTTAGATAAACACTAATATTTTTAATATTAATATTCACTTCATCTTACCAAAACATCTTACTACTTTCAAAGGGCTGTTATGAGTTATTTTTATCTACAAAACAATTTAACTTGAAAACCCACCTTTTAAAAATTTCCCATCTATTCTAACTCTTCTTATATAACAGAAGAAGTTCCAAGTTTGAACACGGAAATTATAGCTGGTAAATACTGAGAAGCAGAATATGACTCGTTCACTCAGTAAGTATTTACGGGGGTCTGTAGAGTCAAGAAATACAGTGAACAAGACAGACTCTGTCCTCAAGAACTTACATGGGCCTAGGAGGGGAAGACACACAGATGTCAGATGGTAGTAAGTGCTATGAAAAGCAAAGAAAAATCAAAATAAAGTCAGGTTGAGAGGACAGACAAGGGGGGCTATGTCATTCTATATAAGGTAACTGTGTGTGATGAAGCATAATAAATTAATTAAAGCACTATATATTCAGCAGTGCTTCAATTTTAATTAAAATGTTTGATCTCAAATTAAGAACAAGGGTATTTACCCAAGGTAACATATATGTGAAAATTCTGCTTTTTAAACTCTAAAGATTTCAACTATGGACATACATTAGAAAACTTCAGGATAATTGTTTCATGACTATTTTTTCTTTTTGTCCTTCAGCAATCCAAAAGAATAAAATGAACTTCCAATAATACCCTTTAGGAGAAGATTCCTTAATTTATATTTCCTCTTGATATAGAACCTTTTTTAAAAAAATTATGTTTAAGTATCTTGCAAATCAAATTAGTGTATATTCATTTTACCTTTTGCATTCCATACGAAGGCAGCTTTTCCCTGAAATGCTGAAATTAAAAAAAAAAGCTTTTAATTTCACAAAAGAAATGTAATCAAATTTAATTCCAGTAATCAGAATATATCATAGACAAATACACTGGACCCTTAAAGGATTTTTATTACCTCTCTGCTTATGTGAAGTATCAAGACTTAAAAAAAATTTTTGTAAAAAAGAATAAACTTAGCAATCTCTTTTATTTTTGAAACAGTAAAAAACAATTCTACTACATCCAATAGAACGGAGACACTCTGCTAGACTTAGTGGCAGTCAAATGAAATCTGCCTATTATCTAACAGCATTCTTACAATCCCTAACTTACTTCTACCATTTTTTTTTCTATCTCTATTCTATATATTCACCTTAGATTTGATTTCTCCACCACATTCTTTTTCCCACCCATTGGTCTACCATACTCATGCATTAGGCACTAGTGCAAATTCAAAGATTACTTCTGGGAACTTGCCTTTGAGTATGTAAGAAAAAGCAAGTAATTATCTAGAGTCAGAAAATCTGGTACTGCCATTAAATAACTGCAAACTTAATTAAGTCAAACTTGGAGCGTGAATCCCTCAAAGGTTTTATCTCACAGAGTTGCCACAAGATCTGAATCAAAAACCTGTATGTAAAGCAGTTAAAGTTCGGTGCGCTCTGCTCCAGCAGCCTGGGTTTGGAACCACACCACTGGTCTGTCAGCAGCCATGCTGTGGTAGTGGCTCACGTACAAGAAGGACATATACAGCTATGTACTGGGGCTTTGGGAAGGGAAAAAGAAGAGAGGAAGATTGGCAACAGATGTTAGCTCAGCACAAATCTTTCCCAGCGAAAAAAAAGCTGGGAGCAGTTTCTGATACACACAAGCTACTCAACAATTTCTGGTGAATTACAATGGAAATAGTAAAGAGAGAGTGATTAATTCTTTCCTGTGTATTTTATTTATGTGATAATTTCTCTCTAATTTTGAATGCTTTTATGAAACCCCGTATCACACTACATAAAAATGACATACGCTAAGAAGCAGTGCTATTGTTTATACTGAACCAGGTACATCACACAACATGAAAAAGTTGTCAGTGGTATAAATAAACAAACCACTGCTTTCGCAAACCCCCTTTACTTAAAAGGAAAAAAACGCAGAAAACCACAACTGTCCTAGCTAATCCAGTATGTCACTGCCATGCTTGTTTTTGTCTTTTACTTTCTTGAAACACCGTCCTTGTTTACTTTTTGCCCACTTGATGTGTTAAAATGGAGACTGTGTCCAAGTCTCCCACTGCTAGTTTTTATTGAGGTAGAATTGACATGTAACATCATATCAGTTTCAGGGGTAGAAAATAATGATTCCATACCTGTATATATTGTGAAATGATCACCACAAGAAGTCTGGTTAATATCCATCACCACACGTGTTACAATTTTTTTTTCTTGCAAGGAGAACATTCAAGATCTACTCTCTCAGTAACTTTCAAATAAGCAGTGCAGCGTCAGTAACTCTGGCTACGTACAGCCACACTTGCTACGGTCAGGTAATTCTTACCAGTACCACAAAGATGAGAGTCAACATGGGACTTAAATGAATACTAGCGCTTTGAAATAATAAGTCACCACACTTTTCTTAGTAATTTTTTTCTTCTGCTGAGGAAAATTCACCCTGAGCTAACATCATTTGCCAATCTTCCTCTTTTTGATTGAGGAAGATTCGTTCTGAGCTAACATCTGCGCCAGTCTTCCTGTACCTTGTATGTGGGTCGACCCACAGCATGGCTGCTGACAAGTGGTATAAGGTCTGCACCGGGAACCAAACCTGGGCTGCCAAAGCAGGGCATGCCAAAGTCAACCACGAGGCCACAGGGCCAGCCCCCAGTAATTTTTTATTATAATTTTTAAATTATTTAAAAACCAAATCTGAATATTTCTAAAAATATTAATACCCCACTCAATCAAATGTAACCATCTTAAGTATATACAAACTATCCCATTAAATTTGAAACTAGCATTAATCATATTTGCTTTCTATATATGTAAATGCTGCTAAAGAGAGTCACAATCCAATATTCTTTTCCAAGGTAGACAAACCTATTTCCTAATCTCTGCCTGTACCCTGAGATATAACATAATGAGTATAAGCTACCTGAAAAGAGGGAAATCTTATTAGTCTTCAGAAAACATAGCAAAGTGGCAGACATCTCACAAGTGGAAAATTAATGTTTATTAAACAAATTATAACATAAAGAAAAAATATGGCACATTATCAAGGGGGACTAAAAGTTGAGCTCTTGAATTTTAGACCTGGTTCTGTTACCAGCTGTGCAAACGCAGATAAGGCACTTAACCTAAGCTTCTTTTCCTCATCTGTGACAGACACACACTCTCTCTCACACAGGGTTGGGAGGTTTAAGTGATGTAGTGCTGTGTCTGGCCAACAGGAAGACCACCAACTATTTCTGTGTTTTGCACATTTCTTCTCCTAACTTTCTCTGAACTAGGTCAATCACTCATCTTCAATGATGTTTGAGTTCTGTCCTCCACACAAGGCAAACAGAGAAACACTGGTTAACCCTCCTTGTTCCTCAGGCTATGAAAGCAGCTCTCCTCTCAACCGTAACATTATGAATTAATTCATCTTGAAATCTCCTGTCCTCAAATCACATTTTCACTCAACAGGCATCAAACAGCAACACAATGTGGCCCCTGGACAACCTCGGCTCATCTGCTGTAATCAGGACATCCAACCTTCATCAGCGACAGTCAACGGATCCTTTCTTTTCTACGACAGGAGACGTGATATTCCACATCCCTCAAAAACAGCGGTACGTATTTGCATATTAAAGATATGGCCCTCAGAATTTCCTCAGTATTTTAAACTCTTAATTAAAAAATACATGTGAACATTTTATTACATCTATCTCTAGAGCATTCACAAAGCACACAATTTTATGTTTAAACAGAAAGTGATTTTAAAATATCTTGCCTAGCATGGAAAGAAATACTAGAAAAACTGAGAATTTCAGTTCTTGTTACAGTCCTGTCTTGAAAATGCTGGTAAACAGACCACGTCATATAACTTTTGGAGATTTAATTTCATCATAAGTCAAAGAAAGGAGTTGGAATAAATGGTCCAGAAGAAAGTTTACAATTCTACAAAGCTAATTTATGGTCTCTTATGACATCTCACTAAACTGGCCTAGAAAAGTTAGGAGTGATTTTCTGTCATATGTACTACCATTTCTCAAATATTTCTCCTTCTCACCATGTAAGCTGCTGTAGATGAGACAGGCCCCTGCAGGTGATGTGTAATTCCATCCCACTGCTCTTCTCTACTATATGGGAAATAAAAATTCCCAGAGGACGGCCTGTTGAGGAATTTCACTGATCTGTATCATGCAACTACCTCTAACCAAAAATACATTTTTACCAAGTATGAGAAGAGAGCACAAGCAAAACTTTTTTCCACATCTTGCTTTCCGTTACCTGCATTTCAATATAGCGACGGTCAGTTTTTTTCTTTTGTAAATCTTCCAATAATTGTTGGTCTAAGGTTGCATCTGGCTCATTTTCTTGGAAGAGATATTCAGAATCTCGGTCAATGTATCTGTCCCTGATTCTAAACGTCTGCTTTTCTTGATTTATCAATTTCTTTTCCTGGTCCTCCCGTTTCTTCTCTGAGTTTGGTTTGTTCTTAGCAGGAGCTTCAGTACCATATCTATGTTGACAAAATAAAAAAATGACAAATGGTTAAATGAAGAGCCACTCGAGGCCTGAAACAATGCAATATGCTATTTGTTTCAAAATCACCCAAATCAAAAGCTTCTATTCTTTTCTCTTAGTAGAGCAATTATAAAAATACTTAGATTCCTATAATGAATTCAAATTTTTCCTCCCCGTAAATAGGTATTACCAGACAAGTTATTCCTTGTGATGGTTAAAAAAAATAAAAATCCACACAATAGACATTCCTCCATTGCAATAACTTAGTGTTTTTCTTTTTCTGATTTTCTGAGCCTTGTTTTAATTCCAAAACTTCATTTTCTTCCTGCCGCGTTTTCTGAGCTATAAATGGAATGCTACATTACACGGTCCCAGAAAAACCTCTACTAATCTTTCCTCCAAATGATATAGCTTCTTTACTATTCCTAAACAGTAGCAATGTAACTTCTTGCAGATTTCTCCCACAGGAGAATTTTGGAAATACAAAGACATGGATAGGAAGAACAATAAATAATAACTTAATAAATCTCATATCCAGATAGACTATTCAAACCATTTAGCTTTCTGTAGGAATGAATATGCCATCTAAATTTTTTTCTGTCACCAAATATGCTCAATCTACTTAAGCAAAAAAAATTACTTTGATGTTAAAATTCACTCATTGAAGAGTCTAAAGATGTTGTTGTTATTATCTTTGTTCCCCCAACCAATGCTACAACGGAAGTGTTACTCTAGGCTCATCCTTTAAAAGAACATTTTCGTTTTACCCATGATCTTCAGGAGCAAACCAGGATATCTGTGCTTCCGAATCCTTATCATTCTTAGCTTGGACAGAATGCAGTAGCTGCACAATTTGTTCTTCTCGACGTTCATCCATGTGTACTACAGCTCTCTATTTTGTGCAAAGGAAAAAACATCCTTATGAACATGAGAAAGCATGTGCAAAATTACTTGATAACTAAAAGAAAAATAAAGGCAAGAAAATATGTTTAACAAACATATATAAAAGAACGTTAAAGTCCTCTAGCCCAATTTCACTTCCTAGACCTAATTAAGGTTAACATTTTTGTATGCATCCTTCCAGACCTTTTTCTACTATGTATTTACACAATAACTCTAATATGACGGGAAAAGAAAGCATATTTATGTCCCTTACTAAAACTTCGCTTCCTTTACCTCCTTCTCTCACTTACTAATTATTATGAATTTTTCACAATCTTAAGTTTTCAAAGATACTCACAATTAAAGTTATTAAAAACACAAATGTTCTGTTAAAAAAACTAACTTGAAAACTGGAATAATACTTTGGTTGCAATGAGCATTTTAAAGTTCTTACACTAAAAGGACAAATATACTGGGAAGTAAGAAGGCTGAGATCACAGGGAACAAATAAAATTGATCAGCATTCACAGGGGTCCAATGTGGCAAATGCTGCAGCTGCCTCGGAGAATGAAAATTAATTTAAAAAACACACCACAGATATGAGTTACATTCTACAGAGTAAATACAAGAACTTTTAAACGCTTTTACAACTGTAAATTATAATTAGTTGAATTATAAGTAAACCCAGGAGTTAAGAGTGCGTAAAGTTTTCTTCAAGTATGCAGACAGGAAAGACGGCCAAGGTATTAAATGAAAAAAGCCAGTTGCAGAAAGTATATACAGAAAGATCTTATTTTATTATTAATTTTTTAAAAAGTTATTCACTTCACATTCTAGATTTCTTGTAGTATTTCTTCCAGATATATTTCTGGCACACTGCAGACGCCCCAGCAACGTCTATCAGATGAATGGCTGAACCTATCTTTTACAACAAGCATGTATGACTTTTGTGACAAAACCACTTTTCTCTCTAAAATAAACAAACACACAAAAAGAATACAATGAGATCTCTGGGGAATTCCAGAAGACTTTTGCCAATAACCTATTAAAGGGTTTACTAAAAGCATCATTATGCTCATACAATTAAAAAGTTGATAGAGTAAAACTCTGGCTGCTGGGAAAGCATCAAGAAATTACCAGCTGCAGCAAAACCTGCTTACTGACAAGCACTAAAGCCTGAAATTTTGTTTGTTTTTTTAACGGTATGCTCAGAAATCTTTTTAAAATGGCTTACATATTAGGCTGGTGAATTCTTCTCCCTAGGGCAGGATGTGTCCTCCCCACTAGCACTGGAAGCTTCCAGCTGGTCTCTCCAGGACTCTACCTGTGCACCTTTTACCTTGGCTGATTGTAATCTGTAATAATTTACTGTAAAAGACCATCACTCTGAGTACACCACCTTTTCAAATTCTGTGATTCCTGCTAGTGAATTACGGAACCTGAGAGCGGTCTTGGGGATCCCCAACACAGAGGATCATGATTAGAACATTTGTGCCCTATGCTTTAAATTCTGAAATGTCTTCAGCACATATTAACATTTACTGCCTTGTGTGCCTACACGAGATGGTTATCGATTACTACGCTTTTTCTTGGCAGTTAGAAATTTAAGAATCTATAAGTCTTTGATTAAAGACTCCTCTGGGAAGGAACCCCCAGGACATAAAGTCATTCTCCAGCAAAGTTTCCTTAACTTTTGCATCCTTTCCAACCATCTCAAGGGCTCAAAGCATTCTTTCTTTCATTCACTTTCAAAATATAAAGATAAGACTAAGTCATTTTTACATGAAGAATGATTTATTTCCAACTGAAACGCATTCACACTACAGCATTTCTTCAACCAACCAAAGGTTTACATTTTGAAGCTTTTCCCTCTACTAGCAGAACAAAGGTTCTCCTCCTCTCCTTGTTACATGAGTTTTAGATATCCCCCCAAAGGCGGGATGATTGAAAAGTGAAACAGCCTATGAAACATAATTTATACTTTCTAATAAAACACAATTCACATTTTTTATAAATTATTTTAAATGAGGTTCTCCCCAGAAAGAGGCCCCAGAGTCTGCAGGCAGTGAAGAACTCAGGAGAGCTGAAATTCCAAAGCTGGATCTCTCCTTTCCTTGTGGCTGTCTCCTTCCTACCCCCCAGCTCCATCGCCCTCCTCTTCACCCCACCCCCGCCCGCAGAACCTCAGACACATACTTTATTTTTCATGACTATTTCGTTTTATCACGGTATTTGACTTTTTGATTATTTTCCCCCTTTCTGGACATCCTTAAATATTCTTTCTGCTTCTAAATTCCTGGCAAAGAAAGACCTTCAACAATGTCCAGCAAATTATCCATATCTATCTTATCAGCTTCTAACTATCTGCAACTATTTCAAACTTTCTCCATTCTCTGTTAGACACCGATACTACGTTCCTGTTCATCCTCAACATTTCACAAAGAAAACAAAAACCGAAGGAAAAGTCCTTAACTGCTTGCCACCAAACCTAAACCCAGCTGTCTCAGAAGCCCTCCTCTGCTCTCTTCCTTCCTGTGAAAACGGAAGAGGAGCCCATTTCCCTGCTTAAGGTTAACCTCTCCACCTGAACTCTGCAGCCCAAGACCTTTCACTTTTTCAGGGCTATCTCCTCCTACTGAGATTTATCTTCTTTTCCTAAAGCTCTGCCATTTTAGTCATTAGGCTGCTGACCAACATTCTGGTTTGCTTCCTTCCAGATAAGCGGTAGAAGGGCATTTTCCCACCCCTAAGTTAAGCATGGCCATGTGACTTACTGGACAGAGAAATGTGAATGGGGTTCTCTAAGAATCAGGGGCAATTTCCTGTACTCGCTCCCTTGTTGCCACTAAACTTGCTCCGCTTGCGATGGGCCGAGGCTCTGTGAGCCTTTCGTTAAGGAGAACTCTTGACTCAACTCCAGTGCTCAAGCAATGTGAGTGGAAAAACCAATGCAGCTGGTATAAACCATTAAGATTTTGAAGCTGTTTACTACTGCAGCATGATGTAGTCTACTCAGACACCTCTTCCTCTCCACTGGCTCCTTACGTGGTATCAGTACATGAACACAAACACAGTCAAATCTCTTCACACTTAAAACAACCAAAAAGACCCCCAAAATTCCTCCCTTGAATTCTCCCACACCTATCAGCCACTGCCCTGTTTCCCTCCTCCTCTTCACAGTAAAACTGCTTGAAAGCGCTCCAGTTCTTCACGTCTCCTTCACCAGCCGCCCCACTGCAATCTGGTTTTCCCTCCACCACTCCACAGAAAGAGTTCTCATCCAGGTCACCGACCACCCTGCTGCTAAATCCAAGACATCCTGAGCTCTTGCCTTGTTCCACGTCTGTGCAGGGTTTACCACTGATTACTTTCTCGTTTTCATATGCTCTTTTCTCCCTTAAACACTACTCTGAGATTCCAAAACAACACTCATCTCCTTATTTTTCTCTTCTCTGGCTGCTCCTTCCTACATTCTTTTGTAAGCTTCTCTTCCTCAGTCCATCCCTTAAATTCTCTTGTTCTACACAGTCCAGCCTGAGTGCCCTGCAGACCAACGGCACTGGCATTCTCTGGGAGCCTGCTGGGAAAGTAGGATCTCTAGCCCCAGCCCAGTGCTACGTTTTCCCAGGACGCCAGGTGACTCCTGTGCACACTGAGGTTTGAGAAGCAGTGGCTGTAGAACTGAGAGCTGCACCCACCCCACTCCTCTTCTCACTGCTCACTTCCACACTCCAACTCCTGTCCATGGGTCCACAAGCTGCCACATGTTCACCTGCAGCCCAGACTTCTCCAGGCATCAGATTCACACTGAGCTGAGTCCACCACCTTCCTCCACCAAGACTGTTCCATAGTCAAGAAAGCGCTCACCGTCAGCAGCAGCTTTCCCCTTCCCTCAGATCAAGCCACTCTAACCTGTCCACTTCCCTCCGTCTCCACTGCCCAAGTCCAACCTCAAGCGTGGTTTCTCAGCTTAATCACTGCAAGGGCTACTTTACCGTCCCCCGGCCCAGGACTGCCCCTTCCAACTGTTCTCCACAAAGCGAACACAGACCCAGGCACTTAACCTTCTAGTTCAAATGCTGCACGACCTGCAGTTTTTAGGGAAAAGCCCACGAATGTCAAGGCCCTGCTCATTCTTGTAGCCCGGGGCTTTTCAAATGGCTGTGTATAAAACTACAGTAAAAGATCTGGACCAGTCTTCTAAAAGAGAAGGCAGAAAAGTACAAACAACAAAAACCCAGAGTCAAGTACAGGTAATTATCATTTTACGAAACATGTGTTCGGTCACACGCGTGCGCGCTGGGCTGCAGACTAGAACACATCCTTTCTGCGGGAAGCGGCCCCCAGTCTGGGCCAGCTGCCCTCGGGACGGCCGCGTGCGGCCCTGCCTGAGCTCCCTGTCCGAACCGTGCTCACTGCGCTGCCCGTGAGGCCGGCAGCGGGGCCCGTTCCGCCTGGCACCGTACTCCCGCCTGCGCAGCCCCGCAGCCGCAGTCCGGCGGGTGGGGCCAGATCTCCCTGGGACGGCGCCTGAGACACCGGCCCGCGCTAAGCATCTGCCAGAAAGAAGCGCGTCACTAGCACGCGCTCTCTCTGCTCACACGGGTTCACGGAAAAGGAAAAGCCGGGGAAACTCTGGCTGACGGCGGCAAAGGGCAGGGGAGCTGATCGCCGAAGAACGGCCCTATTCGGGCGCGAAGACGGAGAGGCGCGCTCCAGAGCAGGAGGGCGCGAGAGCGCACAACAAACCCTGGAACACAGCGTCAGCACCGCCCCGGGAGGTCTCAGGGGGCGCGGAGGGCGCCCCCCCCGCGGAGCCGGGCACGGGGCCCGGAAAGTACGGAGGACGCGCTAAGCGTGCCGCGCGGGACCCCGCGGCCGCCGCCCCTGAGAGCCAGGACCAAGAGAGGCGCGGGGCTGCGCCGGACAGGGCCAGCGGGGGCAGCGGAGCGCGGGGCTCCGCCGGACAGGACCAGGGGGGGCAGCGGGGGGCTCGGACCCCGGCACGGACCCACACCGCCGTCTGTGAGCGGCCGCATACTGAAAACGGAGGCAGACCAGAGCTGACATGAGCTCGGGGCCAATCTTGCTCAGCAAAAGAAGGACTAATAAGAAAATAGGCAGAGCAGACCTCTGCGGGACAGAAAGACAAGGATCAAACACAAACGCACTCTGGCCTCGCAAGCGGAGAGCCTGCAGCGACGTGTACCAAACGGGAGACAGCCTGGCGAGGGGCGGACGCCGAGAGCCCCAATCGTGACCGCCGCACGGCGGGCCGCAAGGGAAGCAGAAACGCGCTCCGCGAGTTCTCCGTTGCCCTTCGAGACCACCTCCCCGCCGGCGCCGGCAGCCCGGACGCCACGCCTCCCCGGGCTCGCACGCCGGCACCCAGAGCGGCCACGCGTTCCGCGGGCGCGCCGGGGGCAGGCAGAGGCCGGGGGCGCGGCGGCCGACCGGCGGGGCCCCGCCCGAACCTTCCCGGCCCGCGCCCCCGCCCGCCTCACCTCCTGCCTCTCGGCGTCCCGGTTCTTCTGGCCCTGCTTCCGTGCGTACCACAGGCCGATCTCGCGGCCCTTCAGGTGCCCGGGGTGCCGGCCGCGCCCGCCCCGGCCGCCCCCGCCGCCGCCCGCGCCCCGGCTCCCACCGCGGCCGCCGCCGGAGCTGCGCGGCCCGCCGTCGCGGCCCCAGCCCGGAGGGCCCTCATAGCTCATCGCCCCGGCGGGCCCAGCCCGGGAGCGCCGGCAGCCGCTGGAAATGGCGGCGGGCCCGGAAGCGGGTGCGGACCGCTTCCTCCTTGCTTCCGGCGCCGGCGCGAGGCTGCCCGTGGAGCGACCCGGCGGGCGCTTCCGGTGACGTCAGGGCGCCGGCCGTGAGGTCGAAGGGCGGCCAGCGAGGGCCTGTGTGACGCTTTCCGCCGGCCGCAGTGGTGCGTCTGCGCCGAGAGCGACCATGGGCGGCAGGTCTGGGCGGCGCGCGCCCGGCGTGCGAGGCAGGGGGCGGGGCTTCCTGTGGGAACCCGGCCGTGAAGCCCGAGCTCGCTTCCGGCGCGGCCCGCAGCCTCGAGGACGCCCGCCCGGTCCGCAGGCTCTGGTCTCGCTGCCGCGGTCTCGCTGAGTGCGGGGCGCAGCCCAGGGAGGCGGGGCGCCCGTCCGTGGAGAGTGGGGCGTCGGGGCCGCGTCGTCCGCGCGCCTCCCGGGCCGCCGGGGAGGCCGTCGCTTAAGCGGGGCCGGCGCCACGCTGTCCTCGAGGTCCCGCCCCGCGCGCGGCCTGCAGGGCCTGCGGTGAGCCCGTCCTCGGGGCGGACCCGCAGCCCGAGCTACCGCCGGCGGAGGCCGAGCGCTCCCACGGCGGGGTGCAGCCCTGGCGGCGGGCCCGTGGGCCGGGCACCGGGCAGCGGGCGGGGACGCCGAGGGGCCGCGCGCTGGCCAGGAGTGCACTCGCCGCCGTGAGCGGGAGGGCGCAGCTGGAGGCCGGGATCGCGACACGGCGGCCACCCCCGGGAGGTGGGGACGCGTCGCAGGCGGAGACGTAGCGGGCGGGCGGGCCGGCGGCCGGGTCAGGATGGGGGTCGCCCCCTCCAGAGCGGGGGGCAGACGGACGCTCCGGGCGAGCGTGGAGGCCGCCCCCCCGCCCGAGTGTGGAAGCCCGGCCCCGCGAAGCCGCGGCGGGAGACGGGCCTTTGAGCGCCACGGGCCTGGTCGTAGAGGCGGCCCCGGTGCAGGGGCCGAGTGTCCCCGTGCGAGAAGGTCTCCTCGGGAGACCGGCCGCCCTGGCTCTGCCTGCGGCTACGGGCAGGACTCCTGCGGCCCGGCGCGCACCGGGGCGGGCGGCGCACACCGGCTCGGGGCGCACTGCTCACGGGCGGTCGGCCGGTCGGTGCCCCCAGGCTGTGCGCGGCACCGTTCGGGGCCGGGGAGACACGGGCGCTCGTCGGGGACCCGACATGGCGTGTTGTCCCGGTTGTCCGGGCCTTTCAGCTGGAGAGGCGAGGCGAAGGGAAGTTTGCAGGGGTACGACGTGGGCACCCAGCCTCGGGGGCGGCGGAAGGGGCCGCGGCGAGGGGTGCGCCCTGGGTCAGGCGGGTGAACCTGTCCGCGCCCCGCGGCCGTGAGTGCCGGCCAGGGCCAAGTTCGTGGTCGGCGGGCAGCAGCGGGAGTGACGGCCGCGCGCTTCGCCCAGGCCTCGTGGCCGCCCCAGGGGGTGGCGCCTGCTTTCTGACCAGCCGTCCTCTGCGCCCCGTGTTTGCCGGCCCTAAGATGCACCTCGGACGCGGATCTCGTCGCTAGCTTTCCTGGCGCCCTCGGCGTGAAGCGCGGACCGCTCTGAGCAGATGGCTGCACGAAGGATCCTGCGCAGGGTGGGCCGCCAGGATGCTGCGGGAGGAAAGACGCCCGCTGTCCCCAGGCTCCCGCGGCGCTGGGCACCAGAGCGCTCCCTGCCCGGTGTGGCGGAGTGCGTCTGCGCAGCCTCCCAAGCGTCCTCCCCACCGCCCGCAGCCAGCCCGCAGACGCACGGCCCCTGCTGCACGCCCGCCGGCCCGTCTCCGGTCCAGCCCCTTTGCACGGACGGGGCCGGGGGGCTCCCTGACTCTGCATTTTTACCCCGACACTGTGCAACACCTTCGGCAGGATTTTTCAGGGGTCTAACGTTCTTGAAGCCCGGAGTGAGGAGTTTTTTTAGTGTTCCCCTTGGAGAATGAAACCCTTAATTGACTCTTACTGCATCTTGGGGTGGGCAGAGGGGAGGTGCTGATAAAAGTAATCCTAGACGGCTATAGAATATAACGATCTGGCTGTGTGAGGCTGGGAAAGCAGGAAAAATGGAGAGCTAAGATCATGTTATGAGAAGAGCGTGGATGGGAGATGACCGTGTTCATCTTTGGAAGACCGTCCGCTGTGTGTGCTGATTCGCGGCTTCTCCAAAACGAGGTCACCCCATCATTTTGACAGCTTGACAGACTTCTCGTGCTGCGTCACAGACACTCCTGCTGCTGCCCTTGTGACGGCTGGAAGGAGGAGCAGGGATAGAGCACTCGCTAATGTTTAACGAGTGCTTATCGTGTGTCAGGCACTAGAAGCAGGCGCCATGTTCTGTTTTACTACAGTTGGGCCAGGAAACTCGAGGAATGCAAAGACTGAAGAATGAGACCTCTCCAGGGAAGGGATACCATCACTGATCTAATCCGTGAAAAATGATGCATCTGAGAAAAGCTAGGAAGAACCAGATGTCTGCAGAACCGTTTATGCCTCCTTCCTTTATAAAGCTTCCATTTTCAATCACTGAAATCTCATTTATTTATCAAATATTTTTAAGAGACTAAATGGACATATTTTCAGTCTTCTCCTCTCTAAGTCATATTCCCCAGTAGACTCTGCACAAGTATAGCTCGAGAGAGGGGGGAGAATGAAGTCTGCCTTGGGAAGGATAATATGAGGAAATGGAGATCTCTGATTCATAGGAAGTAGTACAAGGAAGCCTTATTATTGGAGGAGAATGCAGGAGGAGTGTGGGAGAGAAGAGGAAGATGTTTGTGTTACAAACATCCCGGCTTTTTTGCCATATTTCCTGCTTAGATCTCTGAAAGCAGACCATGTTTTTTCTGTTTGTTGGTTTGGTTTGGGGTTTTTTTTTTGAGGAATATTAGCCATGACCTAACATCTGTCACCAATTCTCTTTTTGCTGAGGAAGACTGGCCCTGAGCTAGCATCCGTGCCCATCTTCCTCTGCTTTATATGTGAGATGCCTGCAACAGCATCACTTGATGAATGGTACACAGGTCTACACCTGGGATCCGAACCGGCGAACCCTGGACTGCCGAAGCAGAATGTGTGAACTTGACTGCTACCCCACCAGGCCGGCCCCAGCAGATCATGTTTTGAAATACACTTTTTAAAAAACTCCAGTTATAGCTTTTAGTATATCCAGTGCTTATGCTAAAGAGAAAAATTACTTACGGAAGCCTATATTCCCCTGGAATTCTAGGAGGGTTTTGCTTTTTCGTTATTTCAAAGTGATGTATCCTCTATTAGGCCAGTTTCATCATTTCCTACTACTGGCTTCTCTTGCTTCACTAACCTTTGGGGAATCTTAGACACATCAGGATTTTCTCCTGGTCTTTATCCTAAAATTGGTGAATGCTAAGGTTTTTTATGTTTGTTTTTTGAGGAAGATTAGCCCTGAGCTAACTACTGCCAAGCTTCCTCTTTTTGCTGAGGAAGACTGGCCCTGAGCTAACATCCATGCCCATCTTCCTCTACCTCTATTTTATATGTGGGATGCCTACCACAGCATGGCTTTTGCCAAGCAGCGCCATGTCCACACCTGGGATCCGAACCGGCGAACCCCTGACTGCTGAGAAGCAGAATGGGCAAACTTAACCACTGCACCACCAGGCCAGCCCTGCTAAGGTTTCTTGATCCAAGAATACCAAACCTGTGCTCTACCCAACTCCATCAAGGGTATTCTTGATTAAAAAGGAGAAGAAGATCCTCATCAAAGTGGGGTTTCAACACAAGAGGAGCTGAGAGGATCCAGAACCTTCGTTTGGTATCTTAGAATTGTATATATAATGCTGTGGCTGAAAGGTTTTAGAGAGAATCTAATCCACCTGGGCCTGCGTCATCCCCAATCTTTCTAACATGCATTCTAGAGTACACTGAGTTCTTGAGAGTTGAGCTTCAGGCTAAACAGCGGTAGAGTCAGAGATGGAAACCAAGCCTTCTGATTCCCAGCCCAGTGCTCTTTCCACTGCAACCAGACCAGTTAGGCACTAGGAAAGGTTACAGATTGGAGACACATCTGTTAGAGTCCCTACAGAAAGCAGATGGCAAGCTTGAAACAGGAGAATTCAGGGAGCATTTGTATGTATTTACACGTGTTAAAGCTGTGTACAGGTGCATGTGTAAAGCCTAGAAAAGGTTTCAGTAAACTGGAGCTAGCAGCAGCAGAGATGTTACCATCTCTAGGCCCAAGTGAATGAAGAAAGGGGGCAAATGCTGGCATCCTGAAAGAAAGCTCCATAGAGCCAGCTGCCAGCAAGCAGCAGTGACCACTGATAAAGGGCAGATCCAGTCCAAGGTGATCCTGCAGGGAAAGAGAAGAATAAACATCCTGACCTCACTCTCCTCTCTGGGCTCTTGCTGGAAGTCCCTGTTGGCCAAATCCCGTGGAAGCAGAGGGCACATGCTTCTGTTTGTTGACGCAGTTGAGGCAGACGGGAAGGTGACAAGAGCAGAGGGGTCTGCAGGAGAGCAGTGAAGACGACCAACACTGGGCCAGAGCAGACTCTGCTGCTTTTAGTTGCAGCAAATTGTAAATATTTCACGGAGGCAGAGATCAATCAGAGAAACTCCAGTCCCTTTATTGTCTGTCAGATGCAGATATTATCTGCTTCCAGTCTCCTGTTTGAATTTGACTGAACATCCAATGTCTCCAGAAGGCATTCTTTGCGAAGACCAGGAGTGGCTGTGTGCTCACCTTTAAGCCGAGTTTCTGAAGGCGTGACAGTCTCGTCCTTTTATTACCTCCTCTCAGGGGTAGGTCCTTGATGACATTCAGTCATAATTTTCTTATTTCATTCGAAATACTGAAAGGGAAATTTCTTTTTATTCTCTAATAGAAACATGAAAAGCAAGCAAGAGGTACTTTTAGTAGGAAATTGCAGATGTTACCTCGTCTGCTTTTTAGTTACAGTTGGTAGCTTATGTTTTGAGGAAAGAGCATATAGATTAG